AATTATTTACAATCAAAATCGGGTTTTTAGAGGCATGAATCAAGATTAAGACAAAAATAACACGAAGAAGACATGAACTGAGAGTAATAAAAAATGTGTTCGACTCAAATATTCATACAGAATCAAGAAATTTCAAAAATAGATGATACACAATAAACTTCGTTAAAATACTCTTCTTTCTTTTATTTCTCAAAACAATTTTGCAAAATTCTGTAAACTTTATCGTGAATATTTTTTAGAAAAAAAAACATTTGTAGGATGTGCTTGGTTTTAATGGTGTCTTCTCGTCATACTCAGTCAACATAAATGATATACATAATGATAAATAAATTTGGAAATCTTGAAAAAAGTTGAAAATGCGTAAAAATATTGTTTGTTTAAATTTCTGAATTGAAATGTGTCACGTTTGCTGTCAAAAAAACGCACAAATTTCAAATTTTTTTGCACAAATTTCAACATTTGACCAAAAATGTCAAATTTCTCTTCCTATAAGCAGCATAACCATCACTAAGTATAAAAAAAATGAAAATTCCAACAATTTTTGATAATTTAAGACCAACAGTAAATTTTTACAGTAACGCATTAAAAAGTTATAAGCAAATGAAATCTTCAAGTGCAAAAACACACAAATTTCAACATGGTTTACCCTAAATAAGAAATCTTAAAAACTAAATTGAAAATATCTTTAATCTCACGAATAAATATACATTTATAATTCAATTAAAATGAAAATATGAAACATTTTACAAAAAGTAAAGTTTTTCAACGATGGCAATCTCATCTTGCCACTTCTGCCACAATAATTCAGTCTCTTTGCTCGCAAATAATTCAATTACATTTATATTTTGTGTCTACATAACTGACGAAAAATTTAATTCCATAGAGTAGGCAAATCTAATGTCTTTAAAGTTATGCAAATAATGCATTGTATGTGTCTATAAATTAAAGATAGTTCATGAATGACATCTAGCATTTGAGGGGAACAATGCGGTGTAAGAAGAAGCAATGTAGAAAGCAGAAGAGGAGGTTTTTCGAAAAATTCTAATCCACTACACTAAAAGGACATTGGTAATGAACCATTCCCCCAATGTTAATTTTATTTTTTATTTATGTCAAATTCATGTCTTCTTTCTCATCACTTTATAATGAATTAATTCTTCCACAAGCCATAAGGAGAGCAGAAGAGAGATTAAAGTAAAAAAGTGTTTGAATTATTTTTTGGGCAATTATTCTTTTTTGAAATGAGATTTCTCATTAAGTTAAGGGTTAAAAAAGTTTTCAAATGACGTCCATGAAAATGGAATTTTATCTAATTGGAAGATAAAAATTTTGAGAATCTTCTAAGAATTTAAAGTTGTTATAATAATAGTTATTGAATACCAGAGTTACCCTTGCAATTCATGAGCAAACTTTGTTTCAATCCAAAGAACTCAAAAATTTGATCAGGATTTTGTAGCATTATTTATTCATTTATCATATTTACTTCCTCTCAGTATTAAATTTCGCTCTCGAATCTCTTAAAGTTCTCATGCATAGCACTCTGATATGCTTTTGAATTCTTAAACCAGACTAAATTTTAATATCTATTAATGCACATTTTTGCATTCACTTTTCATCACACGATTTCACATCCATTTCATCAAATTCTTTCTATGTCATTGTACAATGCTCAGTTTTAAAGAAATTTTTTTATCTTAGTCTATTTCACACCTACAGCCACAGCATGTAATTATTATTGTAATTTTATAGCTTTTAATGAAAATGTAAGAATGAATTAAAAGAAGCAAAAATGAGTGATGAAGAATTTTAATCACACTAAAATTTCACATGTAGACGCAACAAATGACGCAGTGGAACTGAAACAAAAGACAGCAACCGACATGAAAAATCTCATTTTGTCAAGTAAAAATCATGAAAGAGTAGAAGAGAAAAGGCGTGAAAATATGTAAATTTCTTGATATTATAAGAAACTAAGAGGAATGGATTAAAGGTAAAAAAAGAGAGAAATTTCATTATTTAAATACTTTTTAACATAAGTACAAGAAAACAAATGCTTTGTTTTCACATCCTTAATTTTTTTTTAACAATTATGAATGTTTTATAGTTTCCAGTTGCAAAAATTTATCCTATTCATAATGGTTAGTGGATTGAGGTTTGGTGAACATTTTGTTTTGGACGTTGACTGGAGTGACGAAAGGGAGTGAAAAGCTTGATTTATTTTGAGGTTTCGAATTCAACTTAACATGACAAACTCTTTAATTTTAAAAACATTATTTTCACTTGACAGCAGGCTTGACAGTAAATTTTCTTGACGGCTTTGTATGTGCAAAAACAGCTCTGAAATACGTGTGAACAAGACAAAATAAATACCGAATTAGTATTTAAATACTTTTGGTCACCTCGTAATTTAATCATTTCTCATTGGCGTTTTTGAGTGTTCATGCTTGTTTTTTTTTTGAAGGAAATGCCTTTTTTTCTTTTTCAATGTTATGTATGCTTGCATTAAGTTGTGCTTTATCAACAACTCAATTAAAGGTTTCTGCTTTCTTTTTATTCCTCATACTGCTCGTGAAATTGATAAATGATGAATTGATTTTTTTTCATATTCTAGCCTGCTTGTCATCGTCATCATACATGTCATTTATAACTCATATCCTATTTTTTACCTTATTTTTAAGGCCTGGTTGTAATAAGAGAGAAAGATTATTGTTTTGAGATAAGATTGCCATTCTCATCAATTTCTGTGAATGGTCAAAGAAAAATTACAAAACTTAATAGATTTGAGATCTTGGCTTTGATTCATTTCAAGAACCCCAATTAAAAAATTGAAATATGTTACAAGTGTTAAAGCCACATTACCTTGATGACGTTATTTTAAGTTGCATGAACTAGAATCATAGCTATTGTTACCTAATTTAAATATCAATCAAAATATTTATTAAGTTAACAATAGAATATGCTGATTGTCATATAGGCACGTTAGTAATTTACAATCGTCATGAATCATTGTTTACATAATTCGCATTCAGTAAGAAGAGGATTTTCCAGATCTTAGTGGTTTATTTTAGTTATCACAGGTCAAAGTTTGGGGAATTTTTGAACAACGCATGTTTTTTGGAAGCAACAACATTGAGTTTGTGCTTGCATGGATTCATCAAAAAAGTTAATTACTGTGATTTAGAGTTCGATAAGAAAATTGCACGTAAAAAGAGTAAAAAAATAATCTTAAACTTAAAAATCTACAATACTGGTTCAATTTGTGATAACAATAAAATAGATAATCGAGCTCCATTGATAGTATTACTTTTTTAATAACCATCACAAAATGTCCCTAAAAGTACAAAAGTTTAATGAAGTCACAAAAAAAGTTGTTTTGTGGCTTATAAAAAATTGTTCTTTAAAGATAAAGCACATAAAAAGTGTCAAAAAGAGAAAATTAATTGGAACATCACAACAACTTATTTCACTGAGGTTTTATCAACATAATCTCGAAACCCGTAATTAATTAATATGCAAACAGAAACAAAACATTTTTTTTCTCATGTTTAGTCGATAGGCCGCTTCAAGAGTCAACATTCACGACAAATACAGAAAATAATATTACTTAAGAAATCGCACTGTGAGAATGACACAAGATGTGTACTTGAAAATAAAAATTTAGTTCCTAAAGTAAAAATGCAATTCTAATTAAAATATCACGAGCCTCTCTAGTGTCTATGAAAATTTTCATGTTTTACATTTGTAGGAATCAGAGTTGGTATCTAGGAGTTGCTTGTATCTAGGTTTATATTGAAACTAAGGCACTTAGCATCCAACTGTGTTTCTCTTTTTAAATCACACAGTCATCGTGTGACAAGATTCATTTTTTTCCAAGGATGGAAACAGAAGAGTTGACTGTAAACAAAGTAAAATTCTCTTAGGGTTCGTTCACTTATTACGTAACGCACTAGGGGGGGAGGGGGGGTCTAAGATTTTGTTACGGTTTGTTACAGGGGGAGGGGGGGGGGTCTAAATTTTGTTACGTAACTTTTCAAAAAATATATTTTTTTATAATTTTTTCTATATTAAATTAAAATTTTAAAGGAAGTATAATAAACATTTGATAAACAATTTAAATGAAAAAAATTATTGTTACGTTATGGGGGGGGGGGGGGGAGGGGGGTCTAAGATTTTGTTACGCTTTGTTACAGGGGGGGAGGGGGGGTCTAAAAACTCGTTTTTTTGCGTTACGTAATAAGTGAACGAGCCCTTATCTCATTTTTCTTTCCACTTTGCACTTAATTCTATTTTTCTTCCTCTTGTAAGATATGTTGTGAATGAAATGTATCTTTCGTTTCTATTCACATCACTTGTGATAAAAAGTAAATTCCCAATGTTGAAAAACACGTGCACAAGTGTGAGAATTGATAAAATCCCGTCAACTCATTGTATAAGAAATAGGTATCTATAAAGTATGAATTTTAATGACGTACTATATCGGCATTAAAGAGTCTCATTGCATACATTTTAATGTTGCAATTAATGTTGCAATTTTATTTCTTTGTTCACACACATTTAATAGTTTTTAAATCACATATTACCAAATTGAGTAGATTATTATACAAATTTCAATGACAAACATTTATTCCAAATTTATTCTGAGAATGTAAATAAAAAAAAATATTATTCTTGTTTATTTTTTCTATTCTACTTGTTTTTAATAAAATGTTAAATTCTGCACTCAAAACTACACATTTTAAAAACTTTGAACAAATTAAAAAGTCATAAATCAATAACTTAAATTTAAATGCATTTTTTAAAAGCTCAAAAATTGATGTAAATTACGACGTTGCAGCATGTTGACACATCTTATCAACGAATCTTCAAAACAAGAAAAAAAATTACCTGTAAAAGTTCCTTTCAAAATATTATCCTTTAAACTTTTGCAGGTTACAAATTTCAAAATACGATTGTAACATATCATAAAATCAATAGAATTATTGATAACAATATACAATGTCCTTTTATGTATATGTCATCAACTTTTACTCATGAATGTATTGAGTAAGTATAAATGCACGATATTTTCAAAAAACGAAGTCAGTATTAGAAATAATTAATAGCAGAAGTGTTGATCGTTACCGAGTGTGATGAGCATTTAAGGCTCATCGAGTGTATGTTTCTGATTTAGTTTGAAAAGGTATAAAGAGCGTTATGTGTAGGATGAATGGATGACAATGAGTTATCTCATATATGGATTGACATAAATCGTTTGAATATCTAGTAATCAGGTTTTGGAGATTATTTGTAGATCCCACAATGTTTGCCAAGATTTAATTAATTAGGCTAATAGAGTAGTTTATTAAGTACCAGAAAGAGTTGTAATTTCATTCGAAAAAGGCAAACATCGCTGAAAAAATTATGATGAAAATTTCACGTTACATACGTGTGTTTTTGTTACTTATCACATGCTTCTTATACTTTCTTACGCGAATATTTATCATAAATAATGGAGAGGAAGATGAAGAGAGAATTAAACGTAATCGTGACGACGATAAGAAATCTTTTGGTAAGTATAAATTGCTCATTGTCTACACAATCAAGTCATTGCGACAATAATCTACTTTTTACCAGTTTTTACATCATCACAACGTCGATTGTTAAGTATGAGTGAACATGAAAATGGTCAAGATACAAATTCCATACAATCACAGCATGATTTAGTCACACAAAATAACAATGTTAGATCTGATACCATTGCACGACCGGAAGAATTGAATTATTATGGAAGTCAAGCAGTTCTTGAATTAGCAATATATGAGTCTGTTCAAAATGGTACAAATGCTGTAAAGAAGAGCAGCAGTAGGATAATAGCACACATTTTGGTGTCATGTTATTGTTTTTGGATGTTAGCCATAATTTGCGACGAATATTTTATGGCATCGATTCATGTTTTTTGTCATAGTATGTATTAATTTCATATATTTATGGCTTCCAATTATTAGCAACGTTTGGATATACTTTGCGACAAAGATTTTTGTGCAATTTGTTGATGTCGTGGTGTCTGAGCTTGTTGCTAGACTGATTTGGAAAGACACGCATGTCTGTTTGAATATGATGACGTGTAATTAGATTAGCAGGCATGAGATCTAGAAGATCGTTTGAACAGCCAACAGTAGTAACATTTACACCATTTTCTCATTTTGCGCGTTAATCTTTATCCTGTAAAACATTACATTACTAATTTTGCATTAATATCCACATCCACAGAGTTAAAAATAAAACACGAGCTTGCTTCTGGTACATTTATGACAATGGCAACATCAATGCCAGAACTGTGCATTAGTTGCGTAGGAACATTCATCTCTGACGGTGGAATTGGCATAGGAACAATCGTTGGCTCAGCAATATTTAATATTTTGGTCATCACAGCTTGTTGTGGAATCTTGACACGCTCAATTAACAAAGTAGATGTTTATCTACTCAGCCGAGACTGTATTTTTTATGCTCTTTCTATTATCGGACTCATCGCTGTGATTTATGACCATCTCATAATGTGGCATGAAGCTGCTTTAATGGTTGCTGGATATGGCGTCTACTTAACTAGTAAGTATTACCCAAAAAGAGTGAGAAAACCGTAACTTCCGATATTTTTTTACGATTTTTCTCGCTTCTATTTTGTCTCTCATAAAGTGATGATTTGCTTTATATATTTTTTCCACTCAGTGATGTATAGCAACGATATCATGGCTGAAAAAACGAAGCTCATTGCACGAAAACTTAAGATTCAATTTTCAATGGTTTCATTACAACTGTATTATGCTGAAGATTTTAACGATGATAAAGTAACGGAAATCACTCCACTTTTTATGCGTGCTGAATCAATTAATATTGAGAATCATAAATACAGCAAATATAAAGAAAACATCAAATTGGTCGTGGAATATGAAAAATTGGACGAAGATGATGAAGACTGTGCAATAAATCCATGGAAACTACAAAGATTATCTAGTCTTCCTCTTTTTATTCTAAAATGGCCAATAACTTTCATTTTGTGGTGTTCAATACCCGATTGTCGAAGATATGAAAAGTTTTTCGTTATCACATTTATCAACTGTGTAGCATGGATACTTTGCTTAAGCTATTTAATAGCTTCGATGATTGCAAATGTTGGTAAGTTATTTAGGATATTTGGCTTATTGTGCGACCTGATGAATATCTGATGAATATTGATCATAGGTTTAGTTTTGATGAAGACGATCTCAAAAACGGAACAAAATATTTCAATTGTTGGCCTGCTAGTCACTGATTTTTAGATAGTTCATACTCAAACACCAACATGCAGTTTTTTAATAAATCTTTCATTATTGTCTGGAATTATTTTAAACTTTGTCAAAGTGTCTGTTAGGATGAATATACAAAATGTCGTGATTCAGAGCAATTTATTATTTACTATTTTTATTTTAGTGCCGTTGCAGAAAAATTCACTTTAATTAATTTAATTTTTTTCTTTCTACATCATGCAGACAGTATTATGGGAATAATATTTCTAGGTGCATGTACATCTATACCTGAAGCGGTATCGTCAGTGATTATGAATATGAAAGGGAATGCCAATATGGCAATAAACAACGCAATAAGTTCAAATATTTTTGATATTCTATTGTGCTTAGGACTGCCATGGTCGGTGAGAACGATTCTTATTCCGCTGATTTTGGGAAAGCCACGGGTAAGAATATAAAACTCTTTTGTGTAGCGAGGATTTATATCCTGATTTTCCTCTTTTTTTGTAGATCACGCTCGCCTCAACTGGAGTCACGTATTCTGCAATCTCATTGCTTGCTACACTCTTTGTTTTTGTATTTTTATTCATCATCAACAGATTCAAGTTGGATAGAAAAATTGGAATCAGCTGCTCAATATTTTATCTAGTATTTCTCATATTCACATTTATGCTTGAAATGAATCTTTTTATTCCTATGAATTTTCCATCCATTTCAGCGATTAATGGCTTAATTTGAATATGAGTGCAAAAATAAGGTTAGAATGTGATGCTGACTTTTTTGTTCAGCATATGACCCACCGATTATAACCTTAATCTACATAATACTAATATATGCAAACGATATTCTTTACGATGAGGTTAGCAGAAGAAAAAAATATGATAAATTACAGTCTATTGTTTTGCAATACAACAACATCTATTCAGATACGTGCTTTAAAGTGATTAAGTGATTACGTCACATATTTATGCAATTGGGGATTGAGAGCTAGTACGAATTTGTGGTGATAAAACATTTTGGATTCTCAAACTTGAATTCTCAATTGACGTTACTTATCAACAACCCCAAATAGTGTATGCGATAAATCTTAAACTTGATAGACCATTTGTATGTTAAAATCATCGCGCATACATATATAGTTCCATTGTTTATGCTTATCGAAATGAAAATTAGGTCTCCGACATATTACATAGTATTGCATATTACACAGGTATTACAATACACTGTTTTTATTTTTTTAATATTTCTGTGGAATTCATACATATGAATATTTTTTAATATCCATACTCAAATTGTTGAGAAATTACATTAAACATTACGGTGGAGAATCAATGAAAGTGAAATTAGTGAAATATATAAAAAAATGCTTTCGTTTGTTTCCATGACCACAAAAAAGTTTTCAATATCATCTCGAGTGATTAACCTAATGGAGCAATGGACTCTGCATAAATAATTGATTTCATGTTGGTTTAATTTTAGAGATAATTTGACACAACATGAATCAATTACTTTTACCAATTTTACGAACACTCTTGGGTGACTTCTTTTCAGAGAATCAAAATGTGATTACACACGATTAGGTTGTGTAATGATTTTTATTAGCTTCCCATTTTTTCGTTCAAGTAAACGCACAAATTATTTTTGATAATATTTTCGCAGTTCCCAATTTTAAACATCAAATCTAAAATATTGCCAGTAATATATTTATCTTGACATTTCGCCTAAACATCTTGTCTTAAAAACTACCATGAGCATTTAATAACTTCAAAAGTTGAAATAATTGAGCGAAAAAGATGACATAAATGTTGCGTGAAATGTCACTTTAGTGCTACCAGATTATTAACAATGAGATTTTTTAATTCTCTCGGATTTTGATGCTTTTATGTTTTAAAGATGCAATTAACCTCGTCTGAATATTTTGCAAAATAAATGTGAAATGATGGTTATTTAGCAAAACAAATCTGTGATTTTAAAATTAAGCTCTGTACTTATGGATTCATAAACTTTTTTTCGATTAAAAATCAAAAAGTCATTAGTAATTGAATATTAAAATCGCAATAAATATTTGTCAGTCCTGACGGTAATTTATTGTGTAAGTTTTTCAATGATTTTGTTAATTTGTGAATTTGAATATATTTTTTGAACTGATTATGTTTTGGTTTGGTATGTATTGTTCAAATTTTAATGCACTAAACCATTTTATCACCAATCCACTTTACTTCTTTAAGTAAAGTTAAGAGGACATTAAGAAATACTTAGAGGACAGAAATTAATTCTGTCTTATCCAAAAATCTAGCATGACTTCACAATAAATCACAATAATTCACTAAAACAAAGTATAATATTTCAATACTTTAAATTGCTACATTCATTGAAACAATAACTTAAATTTTGAATCTTACAGCACTTTTATCGATCTTACATAAAGTAAAGAAATTAAGAAACAAAATTTTGTCACAATCTCACAGATTAAATCTGCTTTTAATGACTTCTCGTTAATAACTACGACTTATTTTCCATACACTTGCTCGCAATTGACCATGAAATTAATGTGATAATCATTATTATTATCGTCTTATGAGCTGTTTGAAGAATAAGTTTGAGTTTTTCATTATTACGGCTATCAATGCTAATTACAATGAGTCACAACTTTCATGTCTTAAACCCCTTTAATTTTTTATCGTTATTTCTGTTTCATCACAAATGTGTCAATTCTCATTCGATTTTATCCATTTTAGTGACACATTATTGTTAAAAGAGGACGGGATATTGATTCATGGATTCGAGTAAAATAAGCAAATTACCTTTTGTTTTTCTATTAAATGTATAGCTGTGTATATAATCAAGATTCATTGAGTTCACTGCATCATGTGAGTGCATTGATCTCGTCTGATTCCACTCATGTAAAACAGAAATAAAAATATTTTTCAATTGCGAATAATAAAATTTCTGATTGAACTATTTGATGTACAGCTCTTTCACTTTCATGATTCAGTAATTGAAAGTAAAATTAAATTTATTGATCCTTCATAGTCAGGCAATGAAAAGCGAAGAAAACTGATAACTGCGTTAAAATAGTTTTGCCCGAGCTGTTTTTGTCGATTTGAGGTATTAATAAAATATGATTTTTGGGATTTAAACATATGCCTAAGTCTCTAATCTATTTACTTTCCCAAACACTTATTCAAAATGAAAATTAATTTTATTTTCGCATAGGATTTACAATTGATAAAAAAATTCATTCATGTGAGGAAATTCATTTTAATGAATATTTGCGTCGCGTGGTCACACATGATTCAAAGAATTAATGACAAATGAGAGATTTATCTATCTGATTGTTTTTCAAAGAGACGTTAATCTGTGCAAATCTCTTTACAAAAGCGTGTATATGTAATTAACTATGAGAAAAAACTTAAAAATTAAAATCAACAAACAAGAAATGCCGCACAATAGACGGATAAAAAGTTGACCCACAAATCACAATTGAAGCATTAAAAATCACCAAAGACACAGAAAATTACTGCATTTTTTTTGGTACAATGAAAGAAACAAATTTTTGTAAATTGATCTACTTTCTATTCAATAGTTTAACAATACCCGCAACATATTACAAGGCTGTTTTGCGAAAAATGTTTAAAAAATTGATTGAACAACAAAAAATATAAAATTGCTTAAATTTTTTTTATTAACATCTAAGTCTGAGTATTACGGAGAGGCATGCATCAGTCAATTTTATTTGTTTACTTGATTTGACGCAATCATTTGTTTTTGAAATTATGTAAATGACTTTTTTTGCAGGGTTGAAAGTAAACTAAGAAATAAAAGCTACTGTAAAAATAAGATATTGTCATTAAAACTTGCTCAAAAGCTAACAATGACATGGACTATCATTATGACTCCAGCAGCTTCTCAAAAAATTGATCAACTTTGATCTTTTGCGTTGTTGATAAAACGAAGAAATAGTTTTGAATTATTTTTGTTAAATAAAAAAAAAATTCAACAGGCACAAATCGACTTAAATTTAAATTAATTGTGTATAATATTCATAAAGTTAAGTTTCACATATTGCAAAATATGTTGTCGAAATTTCAATGAAAATATATGTAAATGAGTTGGATAATGTGAATTGAAATTCAATTAAAATTTGTTCATTAGTGCATTGCATCATGTCAAGAGTTTAAGAAATGTCTGTTATTGGATATATAATAATATTGGTCAAAAAAACATCAGAAATAAATTAGTCGATTTAAAGATAAACAATAAATTTATTGCTAAATAAGCTTAAATCAAATTTACATAAGCAGAATTAATGCTCAACAGTTTTAAGTTATTACCCATAAAAAGTTCCATTTGTTTTAATGAAAAATTTAAAAACCATCAACCCTGCTTCATTTTTCTGCATTCACCATAAAGGATATTACATTGTTCGATTCAGAATGCTTATAATTTATGTAGGTCAGTTTATTATGCGAAGCATTCACACCAAACCATAAATTTTGCATAAAGCTTTTTGTTAAATGAAAAATCGTTTATTTTCATACTAAGCTTGAGCTGCTATTTCCTGAGATTAACAAAACACCGTGAAAGAATTCAACGATGAAAATTTAATGCAGTTTTGTGAATTTACTAATGAGCTTTAAAGCGATTTTTGCTGTTTCCTTATATGGTGTTTAAAATTAAATTTTGGTGGTTTATTTGTAAATAATGCTTTAAAATCTTGAGACTATAAGTTAAGATAAAACCTAGTTTATACTTAAGTAGAAACTATTTTATTTCATTCATTACATAACCTCAAATGATACATTCTTCATTTAGACATGTTACAAAAACAAAAAGTCCTTACCAAATTTAAATAACAAATAATAAAACTGTCATTTAACCAAATGGACAGCAAAAATATTAATTACCTTTTCCAGAAGCTTTTGAAACGGCCTACACTTCAAAAAGTAGAGTATGAGGACATCTTCATTAACAACTTTGAAGTAAGTTATAAAACTTTACATTTCAACATTTCACTCGAATACTAACTCAATGATGTGCAGAATTCATTCCACGGCTATGATACTTATTTACACTTACGATATGTTTAATTAACTAGCTGGTCAGATTTATTTTTGGATGTATCGTGCTACACAAAATGACATTGCAACTCAGCAGTTTTAGCACCGCAAACATTTTTAACAGCAAAAAGTTTTTAATTCAAGATTCAGACATTCTTTAATTCCAATTGTAGCAATTTTAGAATTCAGCCACTAAGTTGCAAATAATGATGATTTCTATAGATTTAGAAGCGTTGATTTTACCAATTTTGAAAAATAAAATATTCCTAATTCCTCAGATAATAAATTTTTAATTTAACTGCCAATCTTCAACAGTCATTCAATAAAATCGTGAACTTTAACCTTTAACAGCGCCTCACAAAAGAATTTCATGCACCAAATATTTATCATAAGAAACATAAAATTTATGTCAAAAGAGCTTGTTCATTATCATTTCTTTGATTAAATATCATTAGTTTTATTTTCGCACTATTTATTCCATCGTCGCTGTTCATAAGTTTTTTTTCGTTATTTTTCTGTTTAGATTTTTTATTTTGAATTTTAATTTGTTTCCAATATTGTATAGAAATTTGGAAGTTTCAGTTTAGAAATAGAAGTGTTCAAAGTTTGGATACATTGCTGAAACTCTTAAATGATTTTAAAACTGTGTTAAATCAATTTGATGTCTGAAACTCACAGAAATTATAATCAAGTCAAAAAAATTTTTAAGGAAGAATCAAATAGAAAAAAAAAATGTTTTTGACAGAAATCTGATATATGAATCGAAACTCTTTTATGACTGCAAAATGTATGTAATGAAACCTTTGGCAGCAGCATACAGGCGACACATGGTCGATATGAGCATTTTTTTTCATCATTCTAGAATGACGTATATTTTCAAAATAAAAGCTTAATTCAATCTGAGCACTTATTTGAAGAAAATTTTGTCTTTTTGTAGCCTCGTCGCTAAAATATGACATTTTTGATTGAATGTGTCATAACATTCACAAACTAATGATTCACAAAAAGATTTTACGTTATCGAAACCAGTGAAATCCTTTTCACAAAACTTCAAATTTTTAAACCAGTAATTTGGTGCTGACAGCAATCAAATCGTATAAAAAGGTGAAAGAAAAATATGACATTAACAAATCTAAAACAAAAGTTAATATTTTTTGAAAAACGTTCAAGTTCCAATTTGTCGGTTGTTATGGCTTTAATATAGACAAACACATATTCAAACACATTTTTATGTGTCTGTTTTCGAAAAAAAAACCATTCATGATTCACGTTACAAAAAAATGTATACGTTTTATTGTTATTCCTTTTTTGTAAATTCATGACAACACGAAGCTATCTTTTATATAAAATTAAAAATAATGAAGATGATCTGTTAATGCACATTCATTGACTTATGCGAAAATAAATCAATGAAAAAAAAACTCAAAAGTCTACTTAAAGTGAAGTTCAATTTAATTGAATAAACATTATTCAATTTCCAATGTCATGAGAGTAATGGTATATCAATCTCTGCTTGAAATTCTTCTTTCGTTCCTGTATACATTTATCATAGAGTCATAAAACTTTAGAATGAATGTGAAGTGGATGCAAATCTGCATCATATATGGATATTATAGATGGGAAATTTAATGAATTTTGATGTAAATGACTTACATTGGACGAATTTTACTCTCCAAACATGCAGAATTAAATAAATGTGCAGTTTGCATGTGATTCTACTTGATATGTTTTTGTGGTACTAAAATTTTTGTTGGGTTGGCAATTTAAGCAGGGAAGGACTTTAGTATTAAAACATTTTCTACTAAGTTCCTTCTTAATGATATACTTTATAAATGAAAGATTCTTCAATAGAATAGGAAGGAAAATCTTGTAAGCTAACCAAATCTACAATATATCACCACAGTTCCCATAATAAAAAAAAAATAATAAAATTATTTTTAATATTATCTTTTTTCTATATTCTTTTTATAGCCACAAGCCCCATATATCCCATCCCTCAGTTGTGTATAATACATGAACTAACAGTCAATGTATTGATTGTTTATTTTGAAAGGATAAATTGCCATGAGTTTGCAAAAAGAAAAGAAGAATTTTTAATTTTAATGCGATGTCATTGACTGCGTGACCAGCAAAATGAAGTGAAATCGGAAAGTATTCATCAAAAAAGTTGAAGATTTTTAGCATTGGACTTCCATTATTGACTTGTCGAAGGTCATATCAACTCTATGTGACGAACTGATTTATGGCTTTATACGGAAACCTTTTTAATGCAGCTTTCTGAGAAATGCGTCAAACAACCATGTACGTACTAATGTATAATATTTGATATGGTTTAATTTTCAATTTTTATATGCACGTCTTTCTAACTAGATTAAATACAATAAGAATTGAAATAGCATTTTATTATATGAGCGATATAATAATTAGTAAGATAATAAAGCTTTAAAAAGATTTCGTAAAACTTACAAGAAAAAACGTGATTGAAATGTTCAGACCACAGTGCATATGAATACGTAAAATAATTCGATATGAACTTGCGACAACAAATGTTTTATTTTTTTTCTTACAAAATCGATTTATCGAAACCATAAAATTGAGTTTCAAAATCTGTGAAAAATTTGGCATTTTTTGTGCTTTAAAGGTGCGTTAACATTTTTCGAAATGACTTAATTTTCGATTTCATGGCCCTCAGATCTCTTCAATGATACGTGTGTGTATGTCTTTTAATTAAAATGTATCAAAACCTAATTATACATCCTCTCTATTGTGAGAGTTGTAAATTGTAACTTTTGTTTCGTTTGTAAAAAAGTTATTAATTATAAGCTCAATTTACAAACACATCATTTAATCGATTTAATGGTGATGATATTACGTTAAGATTCTTATTATAATTTTGGTAATAAAACTGTTAAAATGTACAGTTTTTGGAATAGTTGTCTGTGATCAGGTCTCGATCTTACTTAGGTAATTCAGCTCAGATTTACTCCAAAATGAATATCCTAGAAACCTCATATATTATCTATAAGTAGAGAACATTGAAAACTTCTTCATTCTGTTCTCTTGTTTTCCCAAGTTCCTCATCATACTAAAATTTCCAAAACAATCAAGACGATGATAAGCATTTTAGTAATGCAAAATAATCTTCAATTGTCTATTGAGAATGCTAAAACAGTGCCTTGACATTTCATCTTCTCACAGCGGAAGAACATAGATGGAAACAATTGAAATCGAACAAAAATGTTATGTTATGAATTCATAAGTATAGTTTGTAGAAGAATAAACATAAAAAAAGTGATTATCGATTTCCCTCCTATTCATAAGACGATCAATCAATATTATATGCCATTTATATTGGCAAAAAAAATAATATGTGAAAATATAAATTTTGTGTTATTTGTGTTCAACAAGCATAGTCTGTTTGATGATGTAAAAGAAAAATACGGGAAGTTATGGTATTCTTGGACTTTACAATCTTCTTGGATATTTGGATTCTAAAGTTAAAATAATAGGATTTGATTTTGGATGAGCGTGATTGTGCTGAAAAATTTTTTTTTGGAAGATTAAAATGCTTTGGGACTTTTTGTAAACTTCAAAAAACACAAAAATTTATGAAAGGTTGTTTGGTGAGCAACATAAATTGTGCATGAAATTTTATTTTTCAACAACCAAGAAAAATGGCAAATTTTTTTTGCATAATTAAAATTGGGTACTTTTAAAGATTTTTTATGGTTTGTGAAATCAGCTGCAACCAGCATTTTTGGAGCTTTTAACACAGATTTTTTAAATAAGTGTGGTTAAGCGATCTGTGTTGCATGGTTAACATTGCCGGGTTGCAAAAAATAACAATATTTTTTCATTTAATACCAAAATCATGTGTGTAATTCATTCAGAAAATTGACTGTCAAAATTCAATTTCCTCCTTGTACATTTCAAAAAAAAATTTTTTTCGAATTTAGTAAATGTTTTTTTTTGCCCGTTTTAAATTTGTTAAGTTTCATGAAAAAATAACAAGTTGTCTCAATGCTCATGCTCACGGTTGACACTTGCTCATTCCTAATTGAGCTTCATAAGTCTAAATATTTTTCACTAGAGGTTTAATCTACTTCAAATATAAGTTTATTTTTCTAATATAAATCGTGTGAAACATTTGTTTTTACACATTCGTACACATCAATAGTTTTAAATTACATGCAATAAGTGAACTTGTTCAGCAATTCTTCTTTTTCAACTTATTTTGAAAATTTTGGTGCTGCATGAAATGACATTTTATGGTTCAGGCAATTTGTAAGAACTTTAACATGTTCATTCAGACAGTATCGTAAAGTTCTTTGATGTTCTGTCGAAACTTCATGATTGCTTTGAAAAGTTTGTTTGGGTTATTTCACTTGTGTATTATTTATCATGATTTCTGTAGTTACCTCATTATGCAAGGTCAGATGTTTGCACATGAAATTATAAAGGGAGATTAAAAGGATTAGATGGAATATTAAATGATGAAATCATGTGCAATATAATATTATTAAATAGCTTAATTTATGCTGGTGCCTTTTTCGGGAGGAAATGAATTTAGGGATTAATCATCACAAAACTTGGATTATGTTGATGTTATAAGTTTAAAAGTTTGGTTAAAATCCTTCAAAATTTTAAAAAAATTCAAGAAATACTGAAACTAGAAATACATTTAATAATCTAATCAAATGCTAAATAAACAAGCCTTTAGAAATTACAACAAAATTTGTATCGAGTATAAGAAAAAATTGTAAGGCAATTGTTTGGAACATAATGAGTCATTCTACAAATTTTGTGTGGTCCGACTGCGTGCTGCTAGCTGATACGAAATGTGAATGTCGTAAATTTTGCTTATCAGTAAGTACCGTATCATTTAAAGGTAGCAGTACAAATTAAAGTAAATTAAAAAGAAGCGACCTGTAAATTGTTAAGCTGTGAATTGTTGTCATGTGTTTGGTTAAAAAAAATTCAATAGACCAAAATTGAATTTAAAATGTTCTGTAACACCGACAATTCCATACATATTCAATTCAATTGTTGTTTTTACGCTTCTCTTTCGGCTACCATGACGTCAAAATGAGTCAAAGCAGAATAAATGATTTTTCATATTTACTTCGTATTGACATAAATAATTTTCTTTTTAACATTTCCATGATTTAGAAATATGATTTATTTGTGATAAAAAAAAGTATTTGTTTCAATTAGCTAATAATTGTAAGTCCTAGACATTTTGAAATTTTCAAGCTGTAAATTTAGCAAAAAAAATTCAAAGTCAATTATGTTACGAATTTGTATTTTTTTTCTCGGTATGAGTTTTGAACCCAGATTTTTAAGTGGTTAAAAGTTTTTGATGATTTAAACTAGTTTAATCAATTACACCAATAAGCTACTCGAATCCTTTCTTAAAATTTAACATTTATTCTATTAATTACAAAGAATTAAAGAACTTTGAATAATGAAGATACGCTTCATTCTATGCATACATCATTATAATCTCTTACTTCCCATTTCATAACATTTTGGTAAATTATTTTGGCAATTTAGTGCTATTGCCCAAAAGTTTTTTTTAAATGTTTCAACCTGATAACGAAATTTTTTTATTATCGGCATGGCTATTTGATTTTCCAAAACAATCGTAAGTAAATTTTCTATGTGTTTTTTTTTTGAAAAAGGCAGTCTTTGTTAATTGATGTAACAGTATCGACGTCCTACAAAGTCAAGAAGCATATTTGTCGCCAAAACAATCCGTCCGTTTCTTCTGCACAAATTAGATGCGCTTCATTCAATTATAAGCTTGTCGTCTTATTATATTTTACCGTGAATAATAATTTTCAAGTCTAATTTACTTACTTAAATGTTGTTCAGCTTGTAGTTATCGAGAACTATCTTTACAAAAAGCACCAAAAATATATATTTATTTATTTTTTTTTCTTTTTTTGCAAATTGGCTTTATTATTTTTTTAGAGTTTATTTATTCATGCGAAATAGCACTAGCATTGTTCTAAGCAGCGCAACATAGTTGAAATTAATTTTATAAACTCTTTATTGTCTCTTATGTTCTCTTTTGCTGATGTTGGTTAATGCTGTTCTTCTCTATTCCTTTTTTTATTCCTCTTTCTCAATTCTTGATTTGCAATAACCTTTTTTTAACGTCCGTTTTACTTCGTATTTGAAGCTATAAATGAAGTCTATAAGGTGAGTAAGTTTTTGCTACTAATCAGTGCAGCTGCATATTATCTTAGTTTTTCTTTCAATATAAAATCTCAGATATGCTTTTGATGTTATTTTATTATATTTATTAACTTCTTTGAGAAGTTTTTCCTGCTTGCACTTTGTTTATGTCAATAAACTTTAAAAAGTTACCACCATACACAGTCTAAATTACTTTCTTCCCCCTTTCAAAAATAGTTCTCTTATCGAACTTGCTATTATATTCAGTTGCAGAAATATTGCACAATGAAAAATATCGGAAAATAGTTTTGTTGTGTCGTGCAATATACGAATAAAAATTCACAAGTTAGGCCTTATAGATCTATACACACACAAAAATATTCTTCTGCTTTTTTTCTTATAATTGATATTGATTTTTTTTTTATAAAATGTTTTTAAATGTAATCATGATTTATATTCACTTATTTTTGATATTCTTATATTCACTCACAATTTTGCATGAGTAAAATTCTAAAATGTTCTTTAAAAAACTAGAAAAATAAATATTTTATTAAAATATTTTTTTAATTCCAGGTGTAAACTATAGCCGTGAAACACACTTGACTCGCGAATGCAAACTAAAATGCTGGATACAAAATAAAAAAGCAAAACGCAAAACGCAAAAGCATTGAAGCAGTTGGTAAATGGAGAATATAAAGAAAAAATTAATGGGTGAGCGGCAAAAACATTTGTTCGAGGGAGAACGAAAACATTCATAAAATCATTGAAAATTCAATGTTTTGCTAATGTTTTTTCAGCTGTTACATGTTGTTGGAGGTATAACAATGCAATTGCGCAAGTCAATTACAAGTCGATGTCAGTAATTTGAGTATTTTCTATTCTTTTAAAGTGACACTTGATGAATAATGCTGTTATTTTCTTTTCATTTAGGTATGTTAATAATTGCAAATTTATTTTTTTGCATTAAGCTTAAAGACATTTTTTGTGATTCCTCATTTTTAAACAATAAAATTTTCATTTCATTTGTTTGCTCATTGAAATGTTTACAATGAGTGTTAATTCTTAAAAATGGAATGTCCGTCAATGTAAAACAAATTTTAAAAGCAGGCAGATGAGACCGTGTAACGCATTGATATTATTGTGGGTTTTAGGTTTAGTAAATTTAATTAAATATTAGCTAATTTTTACATTCACATCTCCTGATCAAGATCTTTCAGAAAGAAATCACAACGCAAAACCTAGTTTACGACTTTGAAAAATTATTTACAAATATAAACGCATCAATACTTCTCATTAAATGATAATATACCGACATCATTATTGACTTCACCACACAATTTAATCATTTCTGACGCGGTAGCAGGCAGTCACGTTTAAATGTTGATGATTCACAAAATTTTTAAAATAATAAAATTAAATTGATTATTATGAAGACAAAGAAGATGTATCAAGTGTGCTAAAAGAATACAAAATAATAAGAGACAACAGTTTTAATTACGAAAAAAACCGGCAATTTATATTTTGGTATTTTATATAACACGACATCAGACTGTTGAAAATTCTTCCGTAAATCCCCATAAAACTTCTTACTACTTATTTTCTTATTTTCGCATTATTAATGATCATTCGGTTTTTTTGAGAGATATAATTAAAATTTTATGCCACAAAGCTCATTAAATGAGCTAATTTTTTATCAGCATATTTGAGGTGGCTTTGATTTTTATTGTCATGTCAAGAAAATAAATATCTTCTGGCTCCTTATGAATTATGTCTTCAACACGTGCTTCAATTTTACATGAAAATCATGACAATAGGATTGAGATAAGGAATTTTCAGATAAAAAATTATGTTATTGTGAAAAACACAAAACAGAAGGATTTAAATTTATTGTCAAGCGTTAATGCACGTGAAATTTTGTGAGTTTTGAGTTTCGGAAATCAAAACGTGAAAGGAGTTGTTTTTAAAAATTGAGTTGATGACTTCTAAGGAAAATAAAAATTAAATATAAAGCAATATATTTTTGCTATTTTTGGGAGGTTAAATGAATTATTGTATGAAATGGATACAATAAATTGTAAAAATTCTCTTCAGTTTTTATTAACCGCGTAATGAAAGACAAAGAATGTTTAAGCATTTCAAAATCATTCTTTGATTTCGATTCTTTAGATCTGTAGCCTTTTTTGGTATTTGAAATTTTGTTATTTTAAATACTAATCAATTTACTTTCCAAATATTCACATGTCCAAATATGAAGTGATTATGTCATCAAACTCTTGCTCATACACATCAATTCACTCTGTATTCTTTTTTTTTTCATCCAGAAAGTTACTCAAGACACGAAAAACAAAGTTTATTAATAGTTGACAAAAATATATGAACATTTCACTCGTCAACAATAAAAAGAATATGACATGAAAATTCCTTATTGTATAAAAATTAGAGTTGAGTAATTATTCTTTGAAATTAATTTATGCATTAAAAAACTATTATTATGAAGCTCATAAAAAATCCTGAGTGACACAATTCTTTTATGATATCTTTTTTGATTTAGTAACCCTTTGGAAACGCTATTTTTATTCGTTTCTAGATAGTGCTGTTAAGTAGTTTTTTTTTTGGCTATCAACTTTTTTAGGGAAATTTGATGACTTATCTCTCAACAAAACCGCAAAATGACTTAAAAAGGCCTGATTTATACTTAATTTCTATGTTGATAGATATAATCAAATTATAGAAATTATTTGAATGTTCATTTTCGTACCAAGATACGTCAAAAATCATTAATTGAATAAAATTTGCATAAAATGTGCATATGCGCGACTACTTGCCATTGTTTTGATTTACAGATTTGCAACAAATATTAGTTTTTGTATAAAAATTTGCGATTTATAGTTACAATAGCAAAAAATCATTCTACCATGACACAGTCAATTACATCTGCCACAATTTTATTTTTTATCTGTTTATATTTTTTCTACAAAAAAACCCGAATATTCAAGTATCAAATGCAATTTATATATTACTATTGATTTCGAATAAAAATCTACCTTGATACTATAAAATATCGTCATGATCATCATCAGTAATTATTTATGTTCAACATGTGCCATCGCAAACATACAAAATAGTAGAGCATTTGATTGACGATTCCATGACGACCGTAAAAATAAAATCAACAAAAGTCGACGTCAGTGAAAGAAAAGATTTTCGCCAATTCTCAAGACAATAGAGAAGGACGAAAAGAAAAAGAACTTTTTTTGTGAATTTTCTTTGCATAAGAAATTTACACCCAAGTCATTGCGGACTTAGAGGATAATTTCTTACTAAAAAATCTTTGCCTAGTTCTATAACGAATTCGTTTGCAGTGAAAAGTGAGAAACAAAAAGTTTAAAGTTGAAATAAAGGAAGTTGGGTAAGAAAGAATTAAAAACTTGTTATTGGCATTTAGAGGAAATTCATGTAAAAAATCAAACATCACCCCTCAAAAAAAGTTTGTTGTGATGGTTGTTCTACATTCTAAATTAAGAATATTCAAATTGACAGTAAAAAGAATTTTTAAATAACTTTCTTATTCTTCACGCGATTGATTCATTTAATTGAGAATTTTGATGTGACAATCTATCTGCAGATTATTCAATAGATATATAAATTCTTTAAATCTCCGTAAAAGTGTCAAAATTTTTTTTAATTTCATTGGTGGAAATTTTATTGCTCTTTTTTGTGTGATTTTAATGACGTCATTGCTGACAAGCATAGCAACTAAAAGCTTAGATACAATAAAACTTAAAATCAACAAGCAATGAGCTTTTGGGCAAAGTTTATTGATTGAAAGCTTTATAAGAGCTTTTTTAAAAACGAGCTTATTTTTAAGAAAAGGAATCAGTTATCTTTGTTAATGGATTACAATTCTGATGTTTTTTTTTTCATTAAATTAAAAATGATATATTGAGGAATAAAAAAGCATGAATTATTTATTATTCCTTTAATTCACGTTTGATCAATTCGTGGACTAATAATTTGCAGCGGATCTTTCTCTTCGACTTATAGTATAAATTTTTATTCATTTAAAGCAGCCAAAATTGCATGTTTTCTCATCATAAAAATAAACACATTTCACAGATACTAAAAAAAATTAACATAGGGTAGGCAAAAAGGGTAGCATAAAAGTGAACGAAGCTAACCACATTGAGACATGAATATAAAAAATTATTACGACTGTCTGTGGCTTAAGCGATTATTTAAGGAAAACGGAAATTACTAAGGAAATTTTCAGGCACTATTGCTTTTGAAACATTTATAAATGACGTCAAAAAAAGAAACTTATAATCCCTAACAGACAAAGAGCACGCTCTGAACATGCTTTTTAAAAATCAATTATTTAATTTGATGACGCTAAATTAGCGTACTCTCCCATATAAATGGAGATCGCAGTACGGTACCATAAAAATCACGCTCTCAAGAGTACGCTTTTTTACTTGCAAATTTTTCATGCAAGTAAAACTTGAGATCATGATCAAGAACATGATCTACTGATCATGCTTTAATTTTACTAATTAAAAAATTTTATGAGCTTGTGATTATGCTCTTGATCATGTTTTCGAGAAATTGTTATTTTTCTTCTTTTTGGTTAATGCTTTGATTCGAACCCGAGTACGCTGTGTTGTAGTATGTCCTGATAACTGTTCATGTTGTCTAATGCCTTCTGAAATTAAATAACTTTCAAATGGCGAAAAGACATATTTAAACTATAGAAAGTCCAAAATAATTACTTATAAAAGTGATTTCTGCTTTCTCTTGTGAAGTATATAGGACCTATACTAGTGATTTCTGCTAGCGCTTGTGAAGTATATAGCAAGAAAAATTTGAGCATAATCTCATGAGGTTGTCAATGATCATGCTTTTTATATACTCTTCTGATCATGCTCTTGAGAGTATATAAAAGATTATGAATTAAAAACTTGCATGCAAGTTTTTTAGAATGAGAGGATGATTGAGTCCGCTATTGAACATGCTCTTTACTGGGATCTTGAGAGGATGTTAAAAAAGCGTATTCTCAACCGTACTCTTGAACAAGAGCATGCTCTTTGTCTGTTAGGGAATGAGACACCTTCGAAACCATTCTTTATTTCACAATCAGCACTGTTATACCACTTCAGAGGAAAAGAAAAGGGAACTTATGAAGTTAGACGTTATAAGCAAATAATCCATAATATTGAATTTCAATCGCTGTCATCAACGGATATGCTTTGAATCACGCAAGCATGTTAATTCTAATGAAATGACAATCGCAATTATTTGTCTAATCAAATCAGAAATCGCAATAAATTTTTTAATGTTAAGACATGTCGCTAAAATGTTCCTTAACATTCATCATTTTTTTCATAAATATATCATTAATGATCTCTTTTGTTAAATGTCAAGAATGTATTCCCGTCTTATTTTTTAAGGCATTTTTGAAAACTTGTTTTTGAAAAAAGGGCTTATTAATGCACTTTGTTCAGCTTTACGACTGCTCGTAAGGAGAAAATTTATGATTTAGGGACTATTTTCAAAACAAAAAAGTCTTGAGCATTCAAATAAATTATAATCTTACATAGATATTTGATACTAGACTAAAGTTTAAATAAAGAGCTTTTCAAATCAAATTTTTCTTTTGTTTAACACATTTAAAAAATCTAAATTGAATTCTTTTATTTCATACATACCGTTATTGATGAATTTATGATTAGTTCCATGATTTCATAAAACTCTATGATTACTGATGTAAAAAGTATCACATAAGTTTTCACAATATTAAAGTGAGTGGACACACAATTAGAAATTTTTATATTTTCCAAATTTATCAAATTTCCAATATGATGACTAGAAAAGTTTTGGAAAATATGCAAGTAATATAGTCACTTTATGTAAAAAACGCATTTTATATATGCAAGTTTTTAATGTTTTTCATTTTTCTCAGCAACGACTTTATGAAAAGCTTTCAAATTTTGCACATTCATTGCTTATATAAATGTTAATAACTCGTATAAGTTTCAGAATTTTCCATTGAGTTTTTCACGAGTTTTCCTAACCTGAATTTTTCACTATTTAAATTAATTTTTCTCGATAACTGCGCATTGTTATTAGATGCTGTTCATTTTATTTTCTTTCATTTTTTAATAGCTTTCCATTGATATATAACAATCTAGGAAAAAGTATGAGACAAGAGAGAAATCATAAAAAAAGTGTAAAAAATGTAAGAAAATTTTCAAAATTATCCGCCATCTTGAATTTATTTTGCTTTTTCTGGTTAAACTGGTGAATAGTTACTTTTATGAAATTAAATTAGTTTAACCAGAAAAAGCAAAATAAATTCAAGATGGCGGATAGTTTTGGAAATTTTCTTACATTTTCACACTTTTTTTATGATTTCTCTCTTGTCTCATACTTTTTCCTAGATTGTTATATATCAATGGAAAGCTATTAAAAAATGAAAGAAAATAAGATGAACAGCATCTAATAACAATGCGCAGTTATCGAGAAAAATTAATTTAAATAGTGAAAAATTCAGGTTAGGAAAACTCGTGAAAAACTCAATGGAAAATTCTGAAACTTATACGAGTTATTAGCATTTATATAAGCAATGAGTGTGCAAAATTTGAAAGCTTTTCATAAAGTCGTTGCTGAGAAAAATGAAAAACATTAAAAACTTGCATATATAAAATGCGTTTTTTACATAAAGTGACTATATTACTTGCATATTTTCCAAAACTTTTCTAGTCATCATATTGGAAATTTGATAAGCTTTCCAAAAATATATAACTTTAATAGTTTTAATGAAAACATAAGGGACAAATTTGGAAAATATAAAAATTTCTAATTGTGTGTCCACTCACTTTATTAAATTATACAAAAAGAAAAACTTAATATGTAGTAATGAGGCACTTTTATAAAAAAAAATATTGTTAAATTCACTTCTACAACATCAATAACTAAGTATATAAATCAGAAAGAAAGAAAGAAACAAATAAATTATAAGCGATTCAGCATTTTTTCACAAAACATGGCAAGAATGAGTTTTTTATTTTTTTACGTAAAGAAAGAACAATAAAAGTTTTATTTTTTCTACAATTCACGCCACGAAAAAATGAGTTTTTTTTTGTTTAATAACAAAAGAAACTTTTTATTATTTCTTTTCCACATATTCCTTTATTCGCTTCGCTTTACGATGGAAAAGAAAGGATAAATTCTTAAAGGCAGAGAAAAAATACAAAACAGCGACTATCTCACAAATAGAGCATACAAACTCTACTTTCAACCCTATCCATAATCTATAAACTTAGCAACAACAACAACAAAAGCTAGAAAACTACAAAAAAAAAGAAAGAGAAAGGAGAAAAAAAAGCGAAAAACATGGATCAAATGAGTCAAGCACTAACATCAGGCACGGTCTTGCTGCGATCGGTAAGCATATTTTTAAGTAATCGACGGCAGAGCAAGCAGCTTAAAGAAAAAGCTGAGAAAGGTGAAAAGAAAAAGAAGGGAAAGAAATTAACAAAAATGGATGAACAGCTTGGCAAGCTACAGCCAAAAGTACTCGAGAGTCTAAAGCGAAAGACACATTTTAATAAGTGAGTATTGAGTTAAGAAAATATTGAAAATTGATTTTTTGCCGTGCCTTCTTAATATTTTTTGACGAGAAACTTGATGATACGTTCAGCATAACGGAATGAATAAACTCATCGGGAAATTTGAGAGAAAAATAATAATTTTTGATTGAGCTGGAAAAACGATTGATTGACATAGAAATACAAGTTTTCATGCTTCAACAATCGTTTACTTTTGCATTACTTTCAACTGAGCAATGTCGTGTGCGAATTGTACCTTACATTGCATGTATGTTTTGTTCATTTTGGCAAGATATGACATATATTTGGATTATAGCGATAGGGAGGTTCATTCAGAAATGTATCCACAATTTATATTCATTTCTCAGGGAAAAAGAAAGTTATCAGAAAATTTATTGTGATTTTATATCAATGTTTCAGGTAAATATGTGTCAAAATCATGTAAAGGTACAAGTTGCTTGTGGAATATTTTTTTTATTTTTACATTATTATGGGATATGACAAGTAGGAATTTATTGTGATTTTATTGTGAATTTATGTCAATAAGTTCTTAGATTCAGACAATTTTATTTCTAGAGCAAGTGATTACATATGTATGTTGCAAAGTTTATAGAACAATTATGGTATTCATGTAATATTGTGAGTTATTGGTTTGTTGTTGAAATCAATCAATGCCTTCACTAAAGAGTAGGTAAAAGCGCGATTTATAGACCTTACTTTCGCTTCAAGGACGTCCCTTTTAACTGAGGATATTTTATTAATATTAATGATAATTTGCAACTTTATTCACAATACTCATAAAATGCTCAAAAACTTCTTAAAAGTCATCTACAAAACTTTTTAATTTGAACATTTTTCCAATGGAATATTATTGTATATCGTAATGCGTTCCAAAAAATAATAAAGTCAAGGGAAAGGAAACAATCTGTTCCTTAATATCAAAATTAATGGTTATGAAACACAAACTTTTTAAATTAAAAAAACTATTTTTCCCTCATTTTTTATTAAATTTTTCTCGCTGTCTAGAAATGAACTAGAAACTTTATCAAGGATATACCGTAAATTAGTATCAAATTGCCCAATAACAAGCAGACAACTTGCAATGAATCCCGGTATGATGATCAACAAGCAAAGTACATCGATTGAGGGAATCGACAGGTCTGTCTTCCGTGAGTTATTACACAGCACATTTGATATAGTCACAGAGGAAGCGCTGATGGAGAGAATATTCTGCACATGGGATAAAGGTTATGAAGGACTTCCAATTCGTCTGGAAGGATGGATTTGTGGACTGTCTGTGTTTTTAAAGGGAACTCTGACTGAGAAACTTCAATTTTGTTTCCGAATTTACGATCTGAATAATGATAATTTTATGTAAGTTTGATCCTTAAAATGACATTGCAAATTAATGACTTAATTTACGAAAAAGTTTTTTGGGTTTTGCATATAAATGATGTCTACTTGTCTTCAAAGGGTTTTATTTTTTAAAATATCTCTCAAATATAATATTCTGTTTTCTGAAATTTTTTTTTCCTTAGACGTCATTTGTGCACCAAAGTCATTTACCTCTTCTAGAATTTCCCACCCAAAACTCATCAAAATATTTTTTATGATTTTTCCAGCACGCGAGACGAAATGTTTGCATTATTAAGGTAGAATATATTAATTATAATTGCTAGATAACATGAAAATTATCAACATCAATTTATATAGGAACTCATTAATGAAGCACCCTGGTGACGATGATGAAACCAGAGAAGAAAGTGTCAAAGACTTAGTTGAAATTGCACTTAGAAAATTCGATGTAGATAAAGATGGTAAAGTAAGTTTTATGGACTATACAACTGCAGTAAAAGCTGATATTCTTTTATTGGAAGCATTTGGACAAGTACTACCAACCGACGGTGCTGTAAATAGCTTTTTATCTACATTACAATAAATTCCTTCATAAATTCTAGTTAAATTGAGGCAGAAGAGTTTAAACTTTTAACTTCGATACTTTAATCGTGAATTTTTAGGGGCATAACAAACTTGGCGAATGTTTCATTCAATTATGTAAATTTTTGGTTTTTCCCTGACAAAATGGCATTCCAATGAAATAACGAAGAGTTTGGTCAACACTTACATAATCAAAGGGGATAAAGCATAAAACGTCATTACCATTTTCTCGTACACGAGAGTCAATTAGATTTGCATTTATATTAATTATCGTTTAGAAATATTTTAAAAATGTTAAGTGAAGATTATAGCAACATAGTTGAGTTTGTTTGTTGTTTCGTGAAATGATTTAAATTGTTTTGTTTTATTCTGACTTTTATGTCAATAATTTCTGATAAATGCCATTTTGGAACAGTTGAAAGAATAATAATGATAATAAATAAATGCGAGCGTGTAAAAATAGACGCAAATTTTTGGGGAATTGGGTTAAAATTAAAATGGATTTTTTTTGGCAATAAATGTTATCATTGACAAGAAAAAATTGTCGGATCATTTAGATTATCTAGCCTTTATTATTTTGAAATATAATCATTTTGAATTTATTAAGCACAAACTTGACGCGCAATATTGTCCAGCTAGTTCGAGCCTTATTAAACTTTAATATTTGTGTCAGGCAAAACATGATGATTTTTCAATCCATCCCAATATTATAAGAACTTTATGAAACGTGTTCAGAAAAAAATATCTCGTGCTTTTGTAAATAAAATAATAAAATTGTCATAATCTGAACAGAATAAAGTCCTCGGAAAGTTCAATGTGCCTTTTTTATTAGATTTTTGTTTATTTCTGTGGTTTTTTGTTCCAAGTATGAATACAATAAAAAATTCAAAAATGAAAAAAAAAGCTATAACAGAACTTTAGACTGGTTAGAATCAGTTTATGTATTCCTGTGATTTTCCTTGTTTTAAGGTTTTAAGATCTTACTTTTTGAAAGTTTAATTATAATTAATAATGAAATAAAAATTTAATTGATGAATAAGGTTCTGGGTTCATTTGAATATAACATAAGTTTTTAAATATGGAAGAGTTATTAATACTTTTTATTACTCATGCGTTACATCTGAAGGATCTCTTTACAGTTTAATACATCAGATACGCAATACTCGAAATAAATTTTACTGCAATCAATTTTTTCATTGCCATTGCTTTTTATAGGATCAACTTTACTGAAGAATTTTCACATCTAATTTGCACACGATTTTGTAATGATGACTAAACTCACTAAAGAAGTAGTCATATTCAACATTCGGCTAATTTTTCTCACATCAAAAACATGAAACGTGTTTAAAAAAGTAGCAAAGAATTCTTTATCTAGATCAACCGAAAAAAGAATTATTTAAAAACACATAAACAAAGACACATGATTCTTGTTCATAAACTCAAAAGACTACACAAGCATAAAAGAGCTTACCATGACAACGAGTTTGAGTATAAACACGCTGACGTGGTGAGAATATGCGATGTGTGTTGAAATTAAACGAAACTAACCACATGAGAATTATTTACAATATTTTTCTTTCTTTTCTCGATGCAGTATCGAGCACGAGTCAGTTCATTCGAAACAGTGTGCGGAATAAGACATTTGGAAAAACTCTCGTGTGCTTAAAATAAACATTACACATAAGTTACGAAAATAGAATAAATTTTCAAATTAATATGGAATCTGATAGTTCATCACGACTGTAAGTAGTTTTAAGCAGCCATAGAAGTCTATTAAGTGTCTCGAAAAAATTATCGATCGTTCTTAATTTATGGTGGACTAGAACTAAAAACTACTTTTATACACGGTGCTCAAATTTTGGCTATTTTTACTGCCTGTTTCGGTTTATTTGAAAGACATTTTTAAAACTTTTATTCTTCTTCCTATTGTGACTAAAATTAAATCCGAAAAACAATATCGCACTGCTAAATTTTCTCGACCATGTTATCATCAAAGAAAAAAAATGTTTCATATGGAACAATGAACACATGAAACTGAAAACCATTTTTACATGATTGAATGACATTTCAAGGAATATATTAGTGATATCTATCAATTAAACGTGTCATGTACTTTTGTAATATTTGTCATGAAAAATTTACGTCAGAAAGGTTCAAGTAAATTTTTTTTTATTAAAATTTTACTACAAATTTAAACGACTTGACAAATAATCTCCAACTTCGGTTTTTTGCTTCAATCAATAATTTTTTCAAGCTGAAATTCTTAAACAGATGAATTGGTTTTTCAAATTAATGCTATATAAATTGAACTTTGAGAACCCTCTCTCGTCTTTCAATAAATCCATTAGTGAAGAAGGTCACAAATTTACAGACAAAAAGATTTTTTCACTAGTTCTTAACAGTTTCGACTAGTCCCGAAAAATCATTTTACATTCTTAAAATTTCAATCTGCATTCTTTGCTGTCAATCAATTACAATAAAATTATTAACTCGTTTTTCCGAGCCTTTGGAGCATAAGTTAAAAAATTCATTCATATTAATGCATGTAGAAAGTCCGTTCAAAAAAGACATGGACATAAATTAATCAATTAAATTATTATTGATGAAAATTTTTAAGAATCATTCCAATCTTTTTTTACGGTAGACAATTTAAATAGAATGAAAAACTTTTATTGACGTATAGTTCGTATAATTACACCATGCGTGTCTACATGGTGACGTAAACAAGTCATTAAATTGCATTAGACCTTCAACGTCGATCAAAGCTTTTAAAAATAATTATTAAGTTCTGATTTTATATTAACTACTAATTAATTTATTAGCTATATTCAACGCAGCATTAAAAATAGACATTATTTGAATGGGATTTGCTATTCGTTGCAAATTACCATAAACATGCCTTGATCTTCAATAGTGATTAAACAAGAATGCAAATTTGATAAGATGATTTCCTTCGAAAATTTTATTTATGAATAAAAATCATTATGTTTAAGTTCGTTTTAATATCGGAATGGAACATGTTGAACAGAAGTCTAAAATCATTAGTTTTATGTATTTGGATAAAATAGTTAAATAGAACGACGCAGTCCTTAAATATAACAAATTTCTTTAATAATGATTGAGATAAGAGAAATACTGTTCAGGTAGAAAATTTCTGATAGTAAAATTGCTCGCAAATTTTACATTATTAATATCTTGTAATCATTTGATAGTTGTTTTGAGATTGACTTTAATTTTAAACAACATTCAAAGCTTAAGACATAACAAAAAAAATCTTTTAAAGTCCGCTATAATGAATTTCGAAACCATATATCCTGCCCTTTGCTTATATTTTTTTGATTGAGAAATCAAAGTTTATTTTAAATTTAGTAAAACTATAATAGTGACTTCTACTTAATTAATATTCACTTTGTCATCATCATCTTCATTGATCAACAATACCTTTAGGTGCTTAGCAAACAAGCTATTTTTTAAAAATTCTTCTCAACAGATTTTGCCTTCTTAAGTATTGCCGGAACGCAAATAAATGACTAAAATACTAAAATTTAAAATTATTAGCAATTTTACATGATCAAGAGGTGTCTCAAAAGAGGAACTAACCTATGTAACTTTATAAACAGTTAAGAATCTTTTAAAAAAAGAGTCGCATAGAAAAAAAATTAAAAATTTATAAAACAAAAATTTCATCAGGTTCATCAATCGCATCAAACCTTGAGCAATAGATCAAGTACTCAATTCTGTCAGACTTTTATTGAAACTGATTTGATGTGTTAAATAAGTTAAATCTGAATAATGTTACACAATGTTAACGTTCAAATCTTCATTGCCATGAAATTATATGCATTAAGAATCATAATTTATGTTCTTGGATTATTGTTAACATGTAATTATGCATTTATTATCATCAAAATAGAACATGTGAATTAATTAATCTTAAGTTTTCATTTGTCTAAAGGCCACAGTAAATTAGACACACAATGTTTTCGTTCTAATTTCCGAGTTACGACAGAAAATATTACGAAATACTTTTTAGTCAAGATTGTAAAAATATTTTCATGTTAGGCATGAATTCAACCTGCAAACCAGATCGTAAAAAATGAATTGAAGCTATGCACAAATGCAAGTTTAAATTTGTCTGTTTTATATTTTTATCACATTATTGAGTCACTGGTAATTTAAAGGTAAGCAAAATATTTTTTGGTGGTTTTCTGGAGGAACTTCCTTTATACATCAGTAATAGTTTTAGAAGAAAAATGTTAATAACACTTTAAAGCATACACAGCGCTTTAAATAAAAACTTCACTTGGATATTTTGCCATAAGCATTCCAAACAGTCTTGAAAAGTATCGATTATAACAGAAAAAAAATTGCAGCAACAAGTATTCATTACATTAGATTTCAAGGTGATCAAGTTAAGCATGAACATTAAGGAATAAAACAACGCCATCTAATTAACACAATTGCTTCATACATGCACTTGATCAAATTTAAAGCAGGTCAGTGCACTCTGTTCATGCCTATTAGATTTTTGATGAACTTTTTTAACACTTTTGAATTGTCATTTGACTACAAATTGAAGTATTGTTGTTAACAACTTTTTGCATTCACTATGAAATTTGAGAATTTAAGAATTAAGATCTCATAAGGCCAGCTTTTTAAAGAATGCTGAAATATAAATAAACAAAGAAGTAGAAAATATTCGGAAATAAACCCTCAAGTTCATTCGCATGTCCGACGACGATTGTAGCCTTCATTTTTTTATTTTTTTCTTTTCGTTTATCTTAAGCCCTACAAACTCATGATTTAAGAACTGTAGTGGCACACGCCGGCAAAAAATACATTTAAAGATCAAAGTTTTTAAAAAATGAAAATATTATTGAGGCAGGTTCAAAAGGAAGGCAAAGCACCTACTGTTTGGACGAATGCTTTAGATAAAAAAAATAAAGTACCGGCATTATATAAAAGGAAGAAGAAGCTAGTCTGTGTTTACAAAAATAAACAGATGGTGCTAATGACATTTAAAATATTTAAGATTTTCTATTTTTGTTTTTGTGGTTTCTCGTTTCAACATCAACAGTTGATCTTGTAAAATTTTCATATTTGATGCGAATGTCGCGAATAGAAAATCTCTTTTTAATTGTTGGATGCAATAAATCATTGTAGTTCGTTTAAGGTCGTAAGAATTAATTTAATATTCCAAAATCTATAATTCAACATTCAAATTTGTTGTTTTTACTGTTTTTACAAACAATTTGCGAAAATGTCAGCTATAAATTTGCATAGTTAAAAAAGATAGATTCTTGTTTGGAATTAAAAACTAACGTGATACAAAAACGATTTTTAATTGCTTTGTGTGTGAAGTTTTAAATCTTTTATTGTTCTTAAGACTGACTTACGGATAGCAACCTATAAACAACCTTAAAAATTACATTTTTAATTTCATTCAACAACTCATAATGGTTTGCTGTTAGCATGTATACTCTTCTTTTGCTGACATAGCAGCACTTAAGTTAGTTCCAAGTTTTCAATTAAGTTTAAACCATTGTCATCGTATTTACATGACATTTGACATTTACAAATCAGAAATCTTAAGGTTGAATTTTATTTAATACAAACCCAGAAGTAGCTTAAAGTGAAAAGCTATTCAAGATCAATTTTTACGTAGATGTCATTAATAGAGATTTTGTATTTACAAATCATTTAATCACAATGATTAACGCGAAATTTTCAAACTGAAAAAAGTTTATTTTACTAATGATAAGCAAACCAGAAACGTTTGACATGCGCCGTTTCGACCATTTATTTATTTTTTTCAATTTTTGAATATAAATTTTATTATTATTGTGATGAAGAGGAAGTAAATTCACAAGAAATATTTCAAGTATTTTTTGAGTTCCTCATATTGCTAATTATTTTTAAATGAATGATTTGATTTCTATTTGCTCAGTATGGACTTAAATTTGAATTGTTTATTTAAGCAGCAAATTCAGATTGAGATTCTGAAATTCTGTAAAAGACAACTGACAGATCTAAATTTTGAACAAATGGTTATTTAATTGAGGTTTAATTTAAGTAAGACGTTTAAATTTAAAAAATTCTTAAAATTATACAAATATTTTTGGTTAAATTAGTATTTATCATAGGTTAACGAAGTAGTATAATACGTAAATGTGGTATAATTTGAATAAATACATTATTAGCAGTAAACTCAAGTCCCTAATCTGACTAAAGTATTTACCATTCATTTTAAATCCCTAATCATTAAAAACTCATTGTTAAAAACTTGAACTGAAAAATATGACAAAAATTGCTGAAATGATTAAATTCATTCAATGCATTAGTGACTTATAAATGCATATTTTAAGAATTTAGCAAAGGTTCGGAGTAAATTAGTCGTGTTTAAGTTAATGTCAATTGATTTTTATCGAAACATTATCAAAGCAATTAGTTTTTAAGTTGCAAACTTACTATTCCGTCTTAAAAGAAACCAACTTCAAATATATTTCTTCATAACTTTAAGTGCCAATTTGCAATTCCATTTGCAACATAGAATTAAAAATTAATTAATTTTTTAAAGCTAATGACAAGAACAGTTAAATTCGGTGAGCTAAATAACCTTCAGATGCCTGAGCATTATAATTTTATTGTCAATGAATCACTACATTCCATCTGATTAACTTATCATATGATGCATTTGTGCTCCAATGCAACATTTTATAAAGCAGAAGTGTACTTTAACACCAGCTGAATCTCTCGATATTGAACTTAATTAAATATAATAAAATTTATATTACTTTGTTGTTGCGTAATGCACAAGTGTGGCGGTCTATTGCATAATTTGTGCAGTCAATAGATTTAATTTACATCGAGATAGCTGTGGCAGTAAAACATTTGAAACCGGTTTTTAGCACAGTAATAATTTGCATGCAAATTCATCATTGACATTGAATGGGATGTAATGTTGATATTGGTCGTTAACCCGAATGAAAACTATTAGAATCAAGGGGAGCAATTTTTTTGTGGTTCACGATGTTATTTAAACTCTAGTTATTCTATTTACTTCTATTGGCATTTTTTAATTATCAACATTAATCTCAGCTTAAACATTCTTAAGAACTTTATGAATGAGTTCAAAATCATAACAAAAATCTTCACATTTAACAGGTTAATACACTATTTCATTAATTAAAGTAATATTGCTTAACTTAATTCACAAAATATTAAAATTCATTTTAAGGAATTTAGTAAATTAAAGTTTCCAATTAGCATCTAAATGCTAAATTTGTCTTTATGCAAAAAGTCTGTGGCACGTACATAGTTCAGTCGCGTAAAAGTCAGGATGATCGAAACATCATCTAGTCTTATTCTTAAAAATATATTTTCATCGGATTTCTTAAATTTTACTTTAAGCAATAGAGACACGAATAGCACACCTGGTGCCGTCCTCTACAATTCAGTAATTATCATCGTTGACCTCGCATTTCTGCTTTTCAAATTTTGGTTCCGCGTTTTTGTTGAACTGTATTATGGACTTTTTGGCGCAGAAGAGCGCAACGTCGCTAATGATGTTATTCTAATAACAGGAACAGGCCATGGAATTGGCAAGGAATTAGCATTGCAATATTCAGCTCTTGGAGCTACTATTGTCGGATGGGATATTAATGAAGCGATGAATGCTGATACTATTAAGCAAATAAAATCAAAAGGCGGTAAAGCTTTTGGATATACGTAAGTTTTAGACATTCAAGGCATAAACAATTAACAAAAAAATTATTTTATTACTCAACTTTCAGAGTTGATGTTACGAATCGCGAGAAAGTTCTCGAAACAGCCAGTAAAGTTCTAACTGAAGTCGGTGACGTGACAATTTTAATCAACAATGCAGGAATTATGCCACAACATGAGATGCTCAAGCATTCAGAAAAGGAAATCCGAATGGTCTTCGAGATCAATACAGTCGCACACTGTTGGATGTTTCAAGCTTTTTTGCCACGCATGATTGAGAAAAATCGTGGTCATATCGTTGCTTTATCGAGTATCGCTGGAATTGTTGGATTTAAAAATTTAGTGCCATATTGTGGGTCAAAGTTTGCGGTACGAGGAATGATGGAAGCTTTGTGTGAAGAATTAAGATTGTATTCGGATGGAAATTCTAAAGTAAGCCTGATTTACTGATTTTGGGTTTTTAACTTTTTGTTATTTTTAATAAGTAATTTCCCAACAGATTAAATTCACAACAGTCTACCCATACATGGTCGATACTGGACTTTGTAAACGCGTTAAAATCCGTTTTGAAAATTTTTTAAAGCTTTTGAAGCCTTCAGAGGTTGCTGCTGCAATTGTTTCAGCTCAAAGACGTGGAATTGTTGAGCTTACTGTACCTAGATACATGTTCTTCTTAAACTCATTTCTCAGGAACTTTCCAACTACTGCTAGTGCATATGTTCGAGATTTCTTCGACAGCGGAATTGAATCGGATATGTAAATTTATTTGTTGTCATGCTCCATATAAGTACTGAAAGATCTTTAATTATTAATGGTGATATTTAAAAAAAATTAAATATCAATGCAAACAATTAGAGAATTTAGAAAAATTAATCATCACATCTACAAAATAAAGTTAAGGAGAATTTATCATGAAATTTATTGAGTAAACAAACTTTAATGTTAATCACAAATAAAAGTATTTTTGCATTTTTTGTGGGTTATGTATGTGTATCGATGCAATTTGATGGAAAACTGTTGCATTTTAATTAATAAAATATTATTAAAAATAATTCTGTATTATGAGTAAATAGAGTTTTCTTATCCTGTTCTCAGCTATAACCAAATTACATTTCCAGCTTTATGATTAGAGAACGGATTAACAATGATTTACGCTGTAAAATGTATTATTACATCAATGAGTAAAAATATAAAATTCTCAGAATTTCCAGAATTTAAAAAAAATCCCATTATTATTGGAAATTCCTGCTGTATGAATTGAAATTTAAAGCCTTCCATAAATTTTTTTGGCAAGTATTTTAAACAAAAGCTGATTCATTAGTTCATGACCTAGATCATTATTAAATCATTTTTCGGTTTTTTGTGTGTTTTTGTAAATTTCCAGATCAAAGTCAGTGTTTAAATTATTCAAAAACAGCAATAGATCGATTTGGAAAAATAGTCAGCTATAATTTGTTATCTCAAAAATTCACTTAATTCACTTAGGGGCCATTCACTTATTACGTAACGCTTTTAGGGGGAGGGGGGGTCTAAGATTTTGTTACGATTCAAACAAGGAAATTTTTTTTTCATACAAATTTTGTTACGAAGGGGGGGGGGCTAAGAAGTCATTTTTTCGCGTTACGTAATAAGTGAACAGCCCCTTAATCAAAATACTTATTTTGATTCTGAAACTTTTTCTCGATAATTTCAGCTGAGCAAAGAGAATTTCATATGCCGCGCCAAATTCATTGTGTCCAAGCATTAGCTTTCAATTTGTTTGAAAAAAAACCTCTAATATCCTGAACTCACAAATTTGAGGTATCACTGGTATTTCTACAATTCTTTTTAAACTTACCAACGTTTTTGAAACACAAAAGTCAGTCTTAAGTAGATTTTGAAAAATGAAAAGGTCTCTTATATTATCTACAAACATCCTCAAACTTTAAATTGAATTTCAAATTATACCACAGATTCTCAAAAACTTCCAAAATATTTTAAATATTCCAAATTCATTCTGTTTCAAACTTTGAAAATGTTCCAAATAATTGTCCCTTCCAGCATTTACTGAGCTTTATAAACACAATAAAGCTTCTATCCTGGAAAGGATGCTACAGAAATTATTGAAACATATTGTGTGAACATACCGAAGCAACTTTAGAGTTCAGTTTTCATTTACATTCTGTGAGTTTAAGTTGGAACACTTATTCGCGCTGGATTTTATTTCATTTCCAATTTCCTTTACTTCTTTCACGTTCGTGAAAGTAAATTCAGTTAAATAAAATCTACATCTTTTAAAAGGTTGGTGATGGATTTAAAAATATCCATTAGTGATAAGAATAGCTATTGAATATTATAATACTGCAAATATACATAAATGAAGCTATTTCCACGTTTTTTAATAAGCATTTAACTTACAACTTCACTTTTGCTTCCATGAAATATTGAACAGATTGAACGGAAGCTACACAAAGTTTTTTTAATCAGACGCTATCATACTACAATTTACTTATTCATACATTAATCCAATGGAGATAATTAAATTTTGAAACTTTTATTACTTCAATCTTGCTGGAGATTAAGAATCGAACAGACAAAAATAAATTAAAGTTTATGAATAAAAAAAAACGTGGTAACAAGTGAAGGTTTTCTATGTAGGCGATTTTAATTTTCATTGCTTTTTTGACTCTGCTTTAAGCGATGAGGTTCATTGAGTTGAAAAGTACAAATGTAAGCAAGTTTGTAATTAATTAGATCAATATATTTAAAATTACTTTCCTGGTAAAAGTTTTTAGTCTTCTGAGATTTTTCATCAGTTTGTTGTTGTAAGACTGAAACTTTTGGACTGTTAATGATGAAGTTTATAGTAAATCAACAAGAATCCAAAATATAATGACACCTTAACTGCAATGGCAACCATATGTAAACACTACAAGTAACTGAAATAAATCTCAACCGCAAGCATCTCTTCTTCTCCCTAAAGCTACCACAAAAACCAAACTAGAACTTCACAAATTAAATAAAGTTCGTTTAAGTAATTCATCACCATTTCTAATCAAGATTGTTCCACCACAAAATTTATGAGCAGCTATAAGCATGGTGTTGGAGTGCACAGAGAGCTAAAAATTTATATGATTCAGAAGATAAAAATGTATCATTGATTCTACACACAAACATACATTCTGTGTAGAAAGGACTTAATTAAGAGAAAATTTTTTTCAATTTACTTGTTTTGTTGCTTTGTAAATAAATGAAAAGAAACAAATTAATGCTTAATTAGTGAATTTTTTTGGGAGTAGATCGATGGAATGTATAGGAATTAATTAAAAATGATGTTATGATGCTGCTTAAAGATCTGTAATAAGGATAGATACAAATTAAATTTACATTGACTTCTCCAACGATTGAAGAAGATTTTTTGATAACAGAAAGTAAATTTGCTATGCGGAGATTTGATATTACAAATTAATGTGCTTACTTTATTTATTTTGGAACATAAGATCTGAAATCTTAGGAGGTTCTGTTGAATTTGTTCAAATTTGGTACCTTGTGTGATTTTGAAGCAAGTTTTTTTTTTACTATTTTACCAAGACATTTAGATACATTTTGATATAATCAAAAATCACTCCAACATCTTAAACAAAAAACTATTTAAGTTTCCGCAAAATTATTGAATAAATTTTCAAGGCTAAAAATACAATAATTGCCAACATGAATGTAAAAATACATCGAAAAAAATTATATTTCCTAAAAGAATTTACGTGCTTAAAAAAAGCAACAACCCTTTGAACAAAAGAAAGAAATTAATATATACCTTACGCTTCTCAACAAATTTCGTAAGTTGTTTTATTTTTATCAAAATAAATTCATTTTGTGTTTGATGCATTGCTGATATCAACGTGGGTTTGAATTTAATTTTAAAATAATTTTTTTTTAATTTTCAAATGAAAACAAAAAATATTTTTTCAAGCAGATTCAAAAATTAATTGGTCCATAACTTGTTACGAAAATTCTTAGATAGCCAACGCAATGCCCACATTGAGTGATTAAAAAATTTTCAGTCGATCTACTGCACTATTTGAGTGGCAATTTCTCAAAAAACTATTCATATCCTCCTACTACTGAAGCTCAAAATTTTTTATCCTAATTCACTTTCTCTCGTTATAATTCAGCATTAAAGGTAGTTAAAAAGTAATTTTCATCACTTCATGTTTCTTTATATTTATATTTTAAACTTTATTCAATGGATGATAATCAAAAAATCCCTTTCATTTGAACTAGTTGGGCATCTTACTATAATAAAGGTAATAAAGAAGTACTTAAAATGTGTCATACGATGTGATTTACGTATTATTATTACTCTTCTGGCACCATATTTTTTGACTTAGTATATCTAATATTGCCTTCTTGACTTGTCTTTATATAACAAACATGCTGTAAATTCTATATTATTGTTGTCATTGGTTCTCATGTATGTAAGATTCTTCATAATTACGGAATATCCAGTAATATCTAAGACGAAAAAATGTAAAAAAAATATTTTTTTATTTTGAATTTCCGAATATGCTGTCTCTAGGGCAGCACAGAAAGTTAATGTATGAGATGAGTTTCGAGAACACACAAGTGATAAAAATCTAACCATGGGAACAGCAATGTCCTTGAGTTATAATATACAAAATCGTTTATTAAATATCAATGGTATATTGTATTTCCAAGTCATATGTTTTACACAACAAACGTGAGACAATGTGGCTAGAAATACTGATGGTGACGTCTAGACAAAATTTACTGTAGCATAATGAATCCTGTGAAATAATATTTGGAGATTTTCGCTAAATCCATTAATTAAAACTTAATGAACTTAAATTTATTCTCATATATCCAAATAATAAATCCACTATCTATACTTGTTAAAAGTCATTCAGAATCTCCTTTATTTAACATATCTACATGATTTCATAGACTGACTCACTTGCTGTGAAAAATTTCAATATAAATATTTTTCAGCATCTGGAAAAGTCACTGTATTTGTCACATATCAGTGCGTATTTACATTCTTAATTTTACCATGAAATATGTTTTTTTTTTATTTGAATAAATCCTTAAAGAGAATGTGAAGCACATCTTGGCATTGAAGAGCTCTCGACAGAAGAAAATTGAGTAAATTGTGTAAAATTTATTGCTACAAAAATGCCGGTATGAACAATTTGTCGCTGTTTGTCACAAAATACCATTATTGCCATATCTCGTTACAGGTTGGTGGACGGCTCGCAGGAAAGGCAGGTTATACGAATAGTTATGCTACCCAAGGTAATTTATTAAGTTAAATATAGTCTCATTTCCTTCATCATTTTGACTTCCTATTTTCTTTTCCACAGGACGCTCGTACAACGACATAAATGAGGAAATTTACTATCTGTCTATTTTTATGGCAACTCTTATTGCCATCCTCATCACATTGGCTTTGTGTTACATCGCTTACGAAAAATATCATAAGAAACGAGAATATTTCATTAATGTATAGATGATTTTTAATAAGAATAGGATGAATATTCCTATGTCATTTCATGTTCATTAAATTATTCCTGCAATTGCTGTTATACTAAATGTGCAGGATGCTTGACAGAATTGAAATATTTAAGCTCATTTGAGGATTGGACTTGAACAATTGTGGATTAAAAAAAATACCTTATAGTATGTCTATTAGGTGTATCCAAGGTCATCTTTAATAATAATAATAATAATAATCACTAAAGTGTTCACAAAATATAACTGAATGGAAAACGACTTAAAAAAAGAAAATGCAAGTTTCACAAAATTTGCTAATCAGAACAACTTAATACTATGAAAACTTAGCTCCGATTTCAAAAATCATCCGTTAATACTTTCTTACTATAACATCAGACCTGTTATCTCGCTAATTAAACCTTTCTTTTCAACTGTTTTTCCTTCCGCTTATGCATAAAATCGTCATATCTTAAAAGGTTGAAAGGTCAGAGTAAGAAAAATAATTTTAACGCTGTCAACAGAAAGTTAATAAAAAGTTTATACAACTGTTTAAGTTCTTTCATATTCTAATTGGACTTAAATGTTTCGTCTTACATTTTACCTTAGCTCCAAAAGCGTTTAAGAAAATCATTTTTTATAAATAAACCACATCCATGGACCACACTAAAAGCTAAGAAAAACTATATGTGAATTCTAAATGTTTACCCTTAGAGACGGTAGCTTTATGGGAAATAATAAAAAAAATATTAGATCAAAACATTGTAGCGTAATAGAAGTCCTTAAAAAAGATATATGAATGTTACTGTACACAATTCTCAATCACAATATATTGAAAAATAAAGTTTTTGGTATAGAAATTATGTTTGCCCTTTTTCATCTTCTTTTATTTAACAATTTATTGCTGCTCAATGGAGCTTTAGATGCAAATCAATTTTTTTCAGATTTTACTGTAAACTTGGACACAACATTTTTTGGAGGTGAAATTAGAATTATGAGGATTTTTTTCATTCATTTGGTGAATACTTTGGGATGTCAATTTTTGGATAAAATGGTTCGCTTTTGTGCCATTTGTCGACATAAAAGGTTGTTCTGTTTTTTTTTTTTTATAATGACTAAATGGAATTTAAACTTTCAGACACATTTCAAGTCATGAAGCTGGAATCAATCCTTTTATACTTTTAAGACAGGCATTATGTTTTAAGTTTCAAAGGTCTCAACATTACCATTAATCTTAATTTTTTTTTTGTCGTCTGTAGCAAATAAGTCAATATGATGCATACATAAAAGTAATCAATTTCTATTGAAAAAACTCTAATAGTGCTTTTAGAACCCAATCGGAATATTTCAGGATGATAAAGTGTAAACACTATCGCAATTCAGCACAATTCAATGTGTACAGTCAACAACAATTTTATGAAGATAATAACAACAAACATAACCAAGCAAATAGAACGGGAGAATGGAACTATATATTTGTAGATCATAAAATGTGAATTGTGGATATGTCAGACAAAAAAAAGGAAAAGTGACAAAATGTTGATAATTCTGACAGATATCTCTATATATATTTTACAAAATTTTTTGTAGAAAAAGTCTTTTTATATATATGAATTAAATGAATTCCATCCGGAAGCATTCAGATTTACTTAACTGTATTTATAACGATTCTTGCACGTTTTACGTTTTAAGGGGGAAAACTATGCTTCTAAAATTATTGATTTATTTTTTATTTGGTATTTTTTATTCAATCAAACTTTTCGGTTATCAAATTTGGAACCATTTGGCAAATTTCACCTCATCCATTATCATGTTCATTAACATCATCTCACATTCTTAATTATCTTGATGCAGCATGCACATATACCTGAAATTTTCCTCAAAAAATAAGAAGATTTAAAAATCCTGAGCAAAAAATATATTTGGGCATGTTGAATATTTCCATTAGCATTAGAACACGAGCGTTCCTTAATTAAATTTAACTTAGGGATGTGTAAAAAAGTTTCAGAAGCATTACACACGGGGATTAATTCTCAAATATACAATTTCTATAGCTGTAAGCAAAAGACACATGCGAAAATGAGCCTAAAGATGACTGATAAAAATACATTCTGGAGTATTAGACAGAAAAGTTCTAAAGTGAATTTTATTTAAGTCAAATAACAATTTGGTAGAATAAATAACGATCGGAAAAGCCCATGTTTATTTAGTGGAAGTGGCAACTCTAAAAAACCATTGAAAAAGAAAAATTTCTGAGCTTTTTTGAGGTACTTTTCTTTCAAAATATTTACTTGAGTCTATTGGTCCTTCTATGTATTTGAGTTCGAACACTCAATGAGCTTTCAACATGCTCAAGTGCCTAATTGATTTCTGTGCATTCAATAAGTTTTCACTTCGCATGCATAGAAATTTCTCTTCATCATTTTGCGAATTGCAATGAATTGAGTCTTTAATTAATTTTACCGGTTCTTTTAATAAATTCATGCAACCCATAAGACAAGAAATGACACAAAGGTTAGAGGTTTTAAATTCTCGTATTTTATCTTTATAAAGTCAGAGAATTTTTTTATGTGGGAAAATTTAAGAATGACAGTTGACTTGTATGAGAATGACTTAGAAGTTAAGCACAATAGATTTACTGCTTTATTAATTTTGTACAATGTGCGGCCACAAAAGCAAAGCTTATGCATCAGATGCCTTGATATCATGACAATGCTGTCAATTCTCTTGTGAATTGTTTTGGTTTGGTTCGGAGATTTATTTGGCTATGCCAATATTTTTTGTGTAAAAGTTTCGGCAAGTCTTCTTATTGATGCTGAAGTTTAATATGGCAAGTGAGTTGCGAATAGGATTTGGGTATTAAATGTTTGCAATAATTTATTTTCAATAAATGGTAGGTTCTTCACAACTCTTCTATTCTGACATATTTAAGCAGAGAAAATTTAGAGAACTGGATTCTCAATTCTTAGCACACCTAATCAATTGAATCTAATCACCTTCGTCCTAGCAATAAATCATTCCATTATTAAGCAATTTAAGTTTAAAAAGTGCAACACTAGCATCTAGCATCATGCGAAAATCAGACATGACACCTGTTTAAAACAAGAACAGCAAAAATAAAAAATCCCATTTCATTTACTTAATGCTCAATTTTTCTTTACTGAATATTTTGTATTTCATAATTCATTATGGAATGGATAAAGATAAGAAAAGCGTATAATGGATCTCAATGGAATAAAACAAATGTGAATTATTGCACTATAAAATTGTGGAGATTGTGTGAAAATGAAGCTGTGGAATCATTCTTTTGCAGTTAAGAAGTTGAGTCGCCTGAGGAGTCTTTCAGATTGATAAAACTCAATTTGTAATTTTTATATTGCTTTTCATTCATTTATCCTTGGTTTTTATATATACTTGAAGTCGTAGGAGCATTAACAATTCGAATATCTGTTTCCATTCACGTTGGAACGATTTGTTAGTCAAAAGATAGTATTTCAGTAGACTTTATGGCTCCTTTGTTGATGTGTATCTGCACTAATGTGAATATTTTGTTTTGTTTTGCTGTGAAAAATATTATGTTAAGATAATTAAAGGAAGTGTGGTATTGACTGGTTTTTAGGTTAAAATTCTTTTACTTTTAGAAATCTAAATTAAACAAATTGAAAATATTTGACAGGAAGGTATTGTTTAAATTTATAAATTTATTTCATATAACAATTAATCAAATGCACATCCTGTTATTCATATTCATTCGTGACAATTTTATTTTATAGCTGATTCTCCATTTCATCATTGACATTTTAATGGGGATTAATAAAGTGTATCCTGATGGTCCAGTGGCAATTAAATATATTAAAAATGAACAATTTATATCTGGAATGTCATATTATTATTCATGATTAATGAAAAACAATTAAATTTATCATAAAAGTTGTTTATTCATCTCTCTCATTTTTTTTGTTAACAATAGCTTTACATAATGAACATCCTTTAATAAGAACTTTACGAGCTTTATAAAAACACATTTCATATGAATACAAGTAAATGAACATGAAACAGTATTTAATATTAACAATAATTTTTCTCCTTTCACATTATGATAATTTTGATTCAAAATCAAAGTTCTGATATCTATAATTTAGCTACAATTCGAATTATCTCTGAATAAATCAAGTCAATTGAGTTAAAAGAAAATTGCAAAAATCTCAATCAAAGAACATAGATACTTCTTGTTTTTTACTGTTGCAAACATTTTTTGGCACAACTCTCATTAATTATGAATACTGACTGTCAATTATGCTAATGGAAGCATAATTGACTATCTAATTTTGTCTTTATTTTACGTACCACTATGGGGCAAAATGAAAAAAAAAGGGACTTTCACTTTGAAAAATGGACTTTTCCGATTTACACTTTTTGGGTGATTTTTTCTTGTAGAGGACATAAAAGTAGATAGAAATGCCAAATTTCAGGTCATTTGGTGCTGATTTCGCGATTCTAGAGCTGTTTGAAGTTGAAAACTAGTGAAAATTCTGGTTTTTTCATACCATGTTTGAACCGGGAAATATCTTAACTGGTTTAAGATATTGCAAAACGGTTTTCAGTTCCTATTAGTAGTATATAAGAGCTTTATTTTGACATATAACAAAGTTTAGGTTCTGAATGTTTTCGTGCCATTATGGTAGAACATATGTGAAAATTTCAGGAAAATTATCTTCAAACAAGCCGCAACTATCATAAATGAAGAGTTTCCAGGCAAGTAAAAACGCAGTTTTGTAGCCCCATATATCTAGTTTTCAAAACTGTATAAACTTTGAAAAAGTAAGCTAACGTAATTGAGTTATGTTGATTTTAGTAGGTCGTTGAGTATTTGGCCAAAAACTAATAATTCTTTTAAAAATACGAAAACATAGTTTTAAAAATAGTTTTTTGGTGTTTTCTTATGAAAAATAACAATTTAAATGATTTTGTGAAGAAAATTTTTCAAAAACTTCAAAATCTTTCGAGATATAGGGGGTATGTGCTCTCCATCGATTTGGCCATTTGTCACCCTACTTAAACCACTATAACTTTTTTTTGAAAAAATATTTTTTAATTCTGTTTTCGGATTATTGTAGCCTAATGTAATACCTATCCAACGATATATAATACTTGCTAGTTAACTTAGTCCTGGTTATTTATAGGGCTGTTGATTGTGACATACGCAGTTTTTGAAAAATTCCCAAAAATTGCATTTTCAAAAATACCACTTTTAAGCAATCTCGAGTATTTTTTTAGAACTTTTTTATGTTTATTTATGACATTTATGAGATTATAAAGCCAAAAAATTAAATTTAGAAACTTTTTACTTCCCTAGTTAACAACTTTGTAAAGTACCCTTGGTAGTCACTATCAGGTGTGAAAATCTCAGTTTTGAAACTATTTTATATATATACTCGTGAAATTCTCTCTACACATCATATCAGTTTTGAACTTCATTGAACAAGTCACTTTCAAAAATGAACCAAAATTCAACACTTACGAAGAAAACACTCTGTGAAATTCTTCGCGACAAAACGTTAAATCTTGCAACACAGCACACGTACTGTTTGGCAGTAATAGAAGAAATTCATGGGAGAGAATTAGCGGAATCACAGAAACCAAGTTTAATTAATAAATTAAACAAGCTGAAGTCAAAGTCAAAAATGTTTTGTAATCAGTCAAATTGGAATAATGCATTAAGAGATCATGCAGATTTCTATGAAGAGGAATTTGAAGTTGACTCACGATACTTCAGCGAATCTAGTGGAGGGATTCTTTTTGAGGAAGAATCTATATATGAAGCAGAAAATGTTACTGACACAGATGAAGATATGGATGAGATTGAATACATCGTCCATGACATAGAGCCTTCATCCAGCAAGGGCATCAAGAGGAAATCATTTGAACAACTAACAAGCGATAAGCATCGACGTAGAAGAGTGGACGAATTAGATATCAGTTACTAAACTCTATATCTTAATGAAGAAATAATTAAACGTATATGCTATGTGCTAAACCAAATTCGAAGTTTAGAACCAGTTGATGATCTAGATGAATTTGATAGGTACTGTAAAGAAACATACAGAATGTTTTTGACAACATATAGTTGGTTCAAAATACCAGTAACACTTCACAGAGCACTTGCTCATGCAAAACACTACATGGAAGCCTTACCATTACCTCTAGGAAGAATGAGTGAAGAAGCCGGGGAGTCACAAAACAAATATCTCAGACAAGATAGAGAACTACGTGCCAGAAAAACTTCAAGAATACACAGTTTTACGGATGTTATACATAGAAGACTCTACAGTTCTGATCCAGTAATAATAAAAAAATATATGGATGTAATAAATAAAAGGTTAATGAGAAAAAATGTCCAAGAAGAAGGTGAAACACCTGAGCAACAAACAGAAAATGAGGAAGAAGATGAGGAAGAATTTGAATTGATTGAGCCAGAAGGAGAAGGTTATGACTTTTCCCAAGCAGAAAACTATGATTATTCCGAAGGACAAGACCATGAATATTCTGAAGAAGCAAACAACGAATGAATAAATAAATTTCATTAAATATGATAAAAAAATGTAAATTAAATTTCTTGACAAATAAACAAAATTTCATTAAACTAAAAATTAAACTTTATTAATTTTACCTATTATAGTTGCGTATCAGAGTATTTTTTTTATTACTTTAATGATAATAGCTTTTTTCAGACTTAACATTTCTTAAAAAAGTCCAAAAAATACTCGAGATTGCTTAAAAGTGGTATTTTTGAAAATGCAATTTTTGGGAATTTTTCAAAAACTGCGTATGTCACAATCAACAGCCCTATAAATAACCAGGACTAAGTTAACTAGCAAGTATTATATATCGTTGGATAGGTATTACATTAGGCTACAATAATCCGAAAACAGAATTAAAAAATATTTTTTCAAAAAAAAGTTATAGTGGTTTAAGTAGGGTGACAAATGGCCAAATCGATGGAGAGCACATACCCCCTATATCTCGAAAGATTTTGAAGTTTTTGAAAAATTTTCTTCACAAAATCATTTAAATTGTTATTTTTCATAAGAAAACACCAAAAAACTATTTTTAAAACTATGTTTTCGTATTTTTAAAAGAATTATTAGTTTTTGGCCAAATACTCAACGACCTACTAAAATCAACATAACTCAATTACGTTAGCTTACTTTTTCAAAGTTTATACAGTTTTGAAAACTAGATATATGGGGCTACAAAACTGCGTTTTTACTTGCCTGGAAACTCTTCATTTATGATAGTTGCGGCTTGTTTGAAGATAATTTTCCTGAAATTTTCACATATGTTCTACCATAATGGCACGAAAACATTCAGAACCTAAACTTTGTTATATGTCAAAATAAAGCTCTTATATACTACTAATAGGAACTGAAAACCGTTTTGCAATATCTTAAACCAGTTAAGATATTTCCCGGTTCAAACATGGTATGAAAAAACCAGAATTTTCACTAGTTTTCAACTTCAAACAGCTCTAGAATCGCGAAATCAGCACCAAATGACCTGAAATTTGGCATTTCTATCTACTTTTATGTCCTCTACAAGAAAAAATCACCCAAAAAGTGTAAATCGGAAAAGTCCATTTTTCAAAGTGAAAGTCCCTTTTTTTTTCATTTTGCCCCATAGTGCGTACGTAAATTTCATTTTTAAAAGATATTTCCTCAATAGAAATTTATTGTTATCGAATTTTCATCTGAAGTTAATGAAAATTTATTAGCAAATTCATTATATATAAGAGTCATCTTATATGATGACATAATTAATGTTCAATTATTTAAAATGAATTATCTCAGTCCTAAACTTCAATGCGTCTGACATTAGAAAAACAAATCGTTTGAAAAAATTTTATTTTGAAGGAAATTGGGAGGAACAATATTTTTATTGTATTGTTTCTCTTTGAAATATTGGTTCAAGCAACGTGTACAAATCTTTAAACGCAAATATTTTTGGAAGAATTTCGAACATGTCAAATTTTTAAATACGGAGCTAGTCTTAATAATTTTATAAACTCTTAATAATATTTTTTAATAAACTAAGAATTTTGTTTAAAATTTAAAATGAGGATGCTACCCAGGAAAGTAATGTGTTTGGTTTATCCTTTATTGCTGAGGTGCAGTCAGGTCATAACATTTTAATTGACCCAAAGGATCTAGTCAATTCTTGTAAAGCAAAACTTTTGATGCATAACAGTCCTTATGATGAGTCCAAACAGCATTTTATGATCGTTCAAATAGGAATGTATATTATAGCAAAACAATAACAAGACTTTTCAACAGATATTTCCTGGAGTTATTCACGACAATTTCATTAATACAAAAATCCATGGGGTTTTGACATTTACAGACGTAAATGCACTTAAATAAAATTTGTTATGTTCCAGAAGGAGATTAGAAGTTTTCAGCATTGTTTTATTAATTTGAATAAATTTCTTTGTAAATAGAAATCTAGCCTTTGGGATTTGCTACAATTTTCAATTTAATTTCGTCAAAATTGCTTCAAACATAAGCAAGTTATATATCTCGTCAAAAAATCATCAAAAGGGACGAATGAGAACATTTTTAATGCATAATAATTTTTAAAATTATTCGAATAATGTCTTACGAGCTTCACTAAAACTAATTTTTTTCCCATAACAAATTTAAGCTTCACAATAAATTGAATATTAATTTAATTAATCTCTTATGGCTTCATATGTTTTTGCAGAAAATCTCCCGATGACTAATAATTAGTAATCTATTATTTGCACAAGACAGGGAAGCCTTTTGAAAAATGTCATCTTCAATAATAGCAACTTAATTATAATTAATGCTTGACAAAGTTTATGATGTTTTATTATGTTATTTTGTGTTATTTTTAAAAGATTGATCATCTAGGACGGCTCCTTTAAAGTAAATATAAAGTGCTTAATATACACCAATCAAAGTTTTTGAATGGAACTCATGATTAGGGTGACCATCTGCATAGTTTTACAACGGACAGTCCTTTATTTCAAAACCCTGTCCTGTATAAACTTGAAAATTTTGTTCCAGGTCCTGTATTTTTTTCACGAAAATTTCCGTTAATTTTCAAATTTTCCTTTGTGTCCTGTATTTTTTAAGAAATTTATCAAATGTCCTGTATTTTCATAAAAATGAGGTGGTCACCCTACTCATGATAAAATATGCTGAAGTAAATGTCAATCATCAAGTAAAAATAATTTCGGTTATTAAAATTTTATTCAATTCCAAAATTTTTGAGTTTCTGAAAATAAAATTTTGATGAGCATGTTAATTTCCTCACAACGCTCTTGTAGACGAAGTTCAATTTCCATAACGTATTCGTATCCTGTAGTGAGAAAGAGTGTATGGAGTAGATTTTAAAATGGCACTTTAAAATTTTACAAGCTGCGTTTTCTTATCATATTCTTCATTCGTCACGTTGTGATTTGAACTTTCGATGGCTTTTTATATTTTAAGTCTATTGGAATGTCTTGTTTTGTTATCGATGCGTAGTTATTTTATGAATTTCTAAATCTCCTACAATTTATTCGTAATTATTTTTGGATCCTGCTTGAAATGTTATTTATCTATGTATGTGCTCATATAATTATCATAAGAGCGACACAGAGTCATCTAAAATTTGTGTTGAAAATCACAAAACAACTAAGCTGTGATGAAGTGCTTTTGCTTTTTCTGACACTTTTCAAATAGGATGTATAATAATGCAATCGAGATTAAGATGGCAATAAGTGTTGCCATGAAAATTGATAAATAATAAATTTCTTCATTAATGTCGTTATACGATCGACCTATAAAAAGTGGAAAAAAGGATAGAAAACATAAGTAATGAATTGATATTAATTACCCCTCATTGACTATGAATAAGGATTTGATAAAGTATGATCGATTTTTTTTTATATTATCAATAAAATCTTTACCACTTGCTGAAAGCCCACTTGAAAACCCAGTTTTTCCAATCGCTCTGCCTCCGACAGGCATTTTATTTTATTTGTATATAAAAAGGTTAAAGAAAATCTTTTTCACTTGAAAATTTATTTTCTACTTTGATGGAATTTTTTTTTCTTCAATTTTTTGTATAAGTCTTGTTTCGTTCTGTCTTGTTTACCGTTTAACTTTAAATATTTAATATTTGTGCTTCAAAAATAATTTAAATATTCTCAAAATTCTTTAGATCTTAACAAAATTATCCAAAAAATGTAACTCAGCATTTCCCAATAAAGCAAAAAAGAATTTAAAAATTCTATCCACAATTTATCATATTTAGATATATTTAAAGTATATCACTAAATCTATTCAATTTTATTTTGAAAATAAATCTCGTAACTGCTTTCAATATTCACGGCTTCTAAAATATAAACGTTGAAAAAGATATTGATTCATTCGTCGACAATTTTTTTTTTAATGCCGATTTTCAGCTATAATTTTTATCACTCAAAACAGACTTAATGTCTACGAGTTACGATAATTTTTATTGTTTATCAAATGGTAACGTTAGAATTTATTTTTACGGACCAAAAGCACCTCATTTCTCGAATCTTATAATCAAACTGAAGAGCATCGTTTTGCAAAAGGATGTGAGATGTTCGAATGGAAATCATGGAAAATTCTGTGGAATTATCAACAAACGAAAAGCTTTTTAAAGCTCATTTTTACCAAAAAAGACATGTGATATATAAAATGATTTATAAACTATTTGATTAATGGCAAAGCAGATGAATATCGCAATGAATTAAACAGAACAACTTTTTTTATGTATGTGCGAAAATTATTTTGATTCGATGATTATATAGAGCTGTAAATCAATTTCAACTTTATTAATTTCGTTTTACCTGTCAAACCAACAACGCTATTGTTGCGAAGTCAATTTAAATGATTTTTTATAATTTTTTTTCATTCAAGAATTTTCTAATTTGTTTTTTGATAGAAATTAAAGTGTAAATTTGGAAAAATAATATTTTAAACTACGTCACCAAATCACAACCAAAATTGCATAAGGATTAACTCAATAAACTATCATTTATTATAAATTTCTATCGTTAGCAATGGACAGTGTACCTCTTTCTACTTCCTGTTACCACACTGTCTCCAACCATTTATATTGTTTTCTACGGAAAAATTTATTATTCTTTATCGTCATTGAAAAACACAAATGACTGTTCTTACTTTACTCATGCTGCATGACTGTTTATTCTTTATTCTTCTATTTTGATCCAAAAGTAACAGAATAAGGAATGCCAAAAGAAAAGGAGAATAATACTTTTTAAATCGATTCTCCTACAAAATTCAGTTCTGTTTATTAAAGTTGAATTGAAAAGTAAGCGAAAAAAATAACATCCAAAGCTTCTTGTTTTTTGTTTTGTTTGGCGCCTATAAAAATTAAGATTTTCGGAGATAATCAATTAGTTTCTAACGTCAATAAAAATTATTCATAATGGTTTCAAGCTGTGTTTATGAGCAAATTAAAAAAGCATTTCTGTGTGGTTGAAATAAATGAAAAATAAATTTATTTTCGTAATAAAAATTTTTGTCGCAACTCTTTTTTCACAGTGCTAAAGGACTTGATATTTTTTGAAGAATTATGACACGTTCTGCTAAACAATAAGTAATTTATACAGTAAATGATAATTCAAAGCTAATATTAAAACTGTATCTAATCCAGAGTATAAACATTAAAGTAAAAAGTTCAATGTGAAAATTCACATGAAACCACCCCTGCATTTTTTTCTCTATAATCTACCCCCAAAATTGCTTTTAGCAAGAAGATGAAAACTCTTAACGGAAGTCAACGGAAATAATGAAACGTGGAAGCTTGTGGATAAAGTAAATAATTGTATTCGCACTGTAGGAAGTAAATTTCTTTATGTGGCGTCTATATGTATTTTAATCATTTAAAAATTAAGATGTTCATATAAATTTGAGATTTATTTTAAACTCACATGAATGTGTGTCGTCATGACAATATTATCAATGTTAAGATATGCGTATACAGAATATTTTAAAACGATGTGAATAAGACTTGAATTTTTGCTTAATTGGGATTTTTTTTTGTGTAATTTTGAGCTTTCTGTGGAATGTTAACTTTGGGAGTTATTTTTAAATTTTATATGAAATGTAATCTCTTTAAATATCCAAATGTTGTTACAACGAGGAACTGCGGTATTATTAAAAAGATTTTTTTGACATGGAATTTAAAAATGTTGTCATTTTCTTAATCATAATATCCTGATTTTGTAGCAATAATTAAAAATCCGAAAGAAAAATAGCATATCATAAGTTGAAAGTTACTTTGAAAGTAAGATTTAATTACGTTTTAGAATCCGGCAACTCTAGATTATATTAATTTATTACGTCATCCATTTTTCATGATTTTCTTTACTAAAGCATGCATTATTTCACCCCAAGTTCAGAATTTGAAGCTCATATTACGTTAAATGTTACTCATGACGCAAAACGATTATAACGAATGTATCGTCCTTTCAACTATGCGATGTAGGAGTCAAAAAATTACATGCTTGAAATACACAATTTTATAGAATGGCTTTTGTATCAAAATGGATGTTTTATCATAACAGTTGCCTCGAAATGTTTTAATATTGTTTATTAGTTCCTGTGAGCCTTAAGAAAAGGATCGTTAAACATAAATGTGATGGATGAATTTGATATAAGATTTTATCTGTGCTAAAAACCTGCTGAAACCTCAAAAATGAAAATTCAAAATTTAGATATCAACTGATATCAACAGACAAATTGACAGTCCAACAAAGCTTCATTCATCCTCAAAGGAGTCTATGCCTATGAGATTGTTCGACTGTGTGATTGTCAGGCTGTGAGGGAGGTTATCAGGAAGGATTAGGTTTTCCCGATTCAAGTTATAATTTTGGTCCCGGTACCGGAAAATTCGCAAAACCGAGAAATCGGGAAATCCTAATTCAGGATGATCTTAATATAGAAAGTGAAAAAAACACTTTCCACAATTATAATAACAATTGATAATGCTGTACAGAAAAGTTTATTGAGCACAAATTTTCTAGTCGAATGATCCTTTAAAAATGGGAATATAAAATTGTGATTCATAAATCATTTTGTCTAAAAAACGTGAAAAAATGTATGAGCAAGATGAGGAAAGAGAAGTAAAAAATTCCTCTCTACATTTTCGTTTGAAGCTGCATTAAGCTAGAATAAATTACTTACAAAAATGTATAACAGCATTACATCCAAAATAAATTTCGGAGTGAATCTAATTAAAGTTAAAATTGTTTTATCTCGCAGTATAGTAACCGCTATGCTCCTTGAATTTAAGCAAAATAGTTATTTACACTGAACGATATCTTTTTACCGATATTCAAACATATGTATAAAATGTATCATGTTTTGAATGAGTTTGAGCAGAAATTTTATCATTCATGAAAGCATCGCATTATCGCATTAATGATCATAAAAGTAAATTTTCGACTCTTGATGATAATGATAATGGATGGAAATGGGGGTTGTTAATTTTCTGAATGCCGAACTTTTAAATAATATCTGACTAGAAATTAAGATACTGAGCCAATACTCTTATACTAGCTGATCCGCCTTATTATGAATCGTAACTTCAACCAAATTGAAAATTTTGTGTGAAAATGACATGAAAAAATTATCCAATTATTTTAGCTGAAATCTAAAGAAAGTTCAAATAAATTAAATTTTTACAACTTTTTGGATTTTAAAACACACTTTATTCCATAACGTCCAAATATTTTGTCTTCAAAATTTTTTTTATGATTTTCAAAATTTAAATTAATAAACTTGTTTTTTAAATGTCCTTTTGCATACCTTAAGGATCAAAAACCAGCAACAATTCAACCAATTCAATAGATTTTCATAAAAGAATTTCCATTTTTAAGGCTTTATAAACATAAAGTTACATTACAAACAACGCTATCCCGTTTACTTATATTAGAATTGTCGATTTGTTTTGTTTTGTTTATTTTTGTAGCTTCCTACCGCTTCCTACAGTTTTTTAACGTGACAAATATCAAACTTTTTACGCAATTCTGTTTCGTAAGCATGGTTCTTATAATTTTGGAAAATATAAAATGAATTTTTTTGCTTAATTTAAGTTCTTTAAAACCCGAGCTATGTAAAGAACTTTGGAGTTCACCTGACATGCTAAATCTAAACAATCAAATCTAGAATTCTTTAACTTTTAGAGCTCTTATTGTGACTTTAATTCAAATTTACTCATTTTTGCCTCAATACCCTTCAATAATCTACTTTAAATTGTGATGCATAAAGTTCAGAGAGATTAAATGAAGGACAATAAAAATTACATTACATTATTACACAAAAAAAAGAGAGAGAATTTTCCAAATCTGTCTAAAATAACTTTAAAATTGCGCCCAATGGTCAGCCCTCCACAACAGAGCATGCATATTGTTAAGTCGACTTCGTTGCAGGAAGTCCTTTGCATGCTTCTCTGTGGCAGTCGAGGTTGGTGTTGTTGCATTCAATACTAATTTAACATCTGTATAGCGGTCGATGAGTGAACGATAGCTTCGCCCAATGGTGACAATAAGAGACGGCTCAGAATCTGTTAACGATGGCAATGGAATTATCGACAGCAGCTGTGCATGTAAAAATATTTTTTTTTTATCGGATTTAAATGATAATATTAACAAGACTTACATCTTCCTCAAATGGTCTGAAAACTGTAATAGGCCGAAGCATCATTTTTTCAACGATAATCAAGCATCCCCATGTCGTTCCTATATAGAGCTCGTTATTAAGTACTGCAAGCGATGAAATTTGACACTTTCCGGGACTCAAATGTTCATCAATTTGAATACTCTTGAGACTCTCCGAGCATGGAATGAGTTTAGAGCAGTCCAATTTATTCTCAATGATTTTTAACTCGACGTTCCACTGATACAGCACACAAGATGGTGCAACATATGAGTATACATATTGTGTCGTTGCATAAAGTTTTGCTACATAAAAATCTTTCGTTGGTGTTGAGTTTTTAAAATGATACAAAGGATTATGGTCAGATGCTCCAGATTCACTGATCGAGAAAACGTTTATTGTTCCATAGTTCTCGCCACACCACATTTCGTATTTTCTTATTTTAAAAAAATTAGATAAAAAGTAATTAAATGCCACGAAATTGCAACTTAAAGCTCTAAAGTTTCTTACTCATCTGTACAAAATATTGAGCATGCACTATGAAGCTCTTCCCCCGTTCCAAGTTCTGTTAACACAAAGCTACCTTCAGCGGCTGCAAAAGTTTTGGGAATTAAAGTAGAATCAAGCAAGAATAGTCTTCCATTCTGCAAGCCCGCAGCTACTCGTTTTATTTTATCAAGGTAAATGATTGTTACAACTGAGCAGTCTTCCGTGATTTCTAGTGAGTATGAGAACAAATGAGAACAGTCAGCAGCACTACGAAACAGATATTAAAAATATCATTAAATTTGGTCCATTAAAACATTAAAAGTTCATCCTACTTGAATGCATGAATATTTCCATCACAATCACCAATCCAAATGTTAGCATCGACAATGCAGCAGCACGTTAGTTTCATTCCTTTTGTGTTTTTGTTCAAGATCATTTGCTGTTGCTGAATTGATGTGAATAATTGGGGACATGATATTTTATGATACTGTTGCCAACCTTTCGTCGATGCCATTAACAAATCAATTCGTGAGTTTGAGCACGGTAACCATAACTCAAATCCATAAGACTTATCATCTGACTGTTCAATACCAGAGATTGGATAACTTATTGCTTGATTTACAGCACCTGGATGTGATAGAGACATAACATCTAAAAGATGAGTAAACTCAGGTGCACTGCCGATTGAAACAATTTGACTTGCAGTTGGACGAATTTTTGGATTTTGATCCCATGATAGGACCATCAAATCAAGGCAATAACTTGGAAATTGTGTTTCTCGTTGTGTCAATACTGGTCTGTTTCCATCCAAGATACATTCTTTAACAGCTTCATGTCCTTCAAATGGCTGTCTTAATGAGATTAATTCATAAATGAACATACCGAAGCTAAAACAATCGACTTTTTCTGTGTATTCCTCTTCTCCATTATGCTTCATTATCTCTGGTGCCATGAATCCTATGTATTGATGAACATGAAAATCTATTATAGTGACAATAAATAAAAAATTACCTTCTGTTCCGCCAAATCCTTTACTTCCAGACGGCAGAACTATTCGACTAATTCCATAGTCAGCCATCTTAATATGTACTTGATTTCCAGGGTTATCTGCCGTGTGAGGTTCAGGAAACTCAAATACCAAAATATTCTCGGACTTTAAATCACGATAAATCACACGACGTCGATGCAAATACTCAAGTGCGCGTGCTGTCTGAAGAACAAGAAGTTGAAAACAATATGGACCGATTCTCGCTCCACTTCTTCTATAATGTCTTAAAGTGGCATCAAGTGCGCCTTTTGGTGCTAAGTCTAATACCAAAGCAAGTGGTTGAGTGCAGACTCCCATCAATGGAACGATGTTTGGATGTTTAAGAGTCAATAAAACACTTAATTCTTGACGTGCCGTACAATAAGCTTTGCATGCATGCTGCAATGGATCTCTTTCCCATTTTCCTAAAGCTGCTTTATAAGCAATTATTGCACTTTGATTAGCTCGAGGGCCAGGAGCAACAGGTTGTAGCATTTTCATCGCAACAGGAATTAATTGACGTGAATTCTTCATTTTGCATGTTGCTTTAAAAACAAATCCGAAAGCTCCTCTGCCGAGTAATTGACCTCTTGATATATCTTCTGGTCTAATAAGATTATTTTCCGACAGATCAAGGAAATTAACATCGGGTGTGATTGAACTAAGCTCAATTTCTCCATGGACGGGACATTGAATTGATTTTCGATCATATGCTGCTAATATACATTCCTCAACCATCCATGAATAACTTGGTGGTGGAAGAGATTCATTATTAATCAGTGGATGTCCTTCAACCGATGTCGTTCTTGATGATTGTGCTGAATTTGGATCAACACCTGAATCACAGTCAGAGTAGCCCAACGAGTCTTGTGATTTTCTTGAATTATTTGCAGCTGCCATTTCGTTAAGAATTCCTGAAATTTCATTCAATCCACTGAGTTCACCGTCACGATTTCGATCAAGTGATAGACGCTTGAAAAGTGATTTTGGTAATTTAACATTTACTGTCGGCTGTGGCGGTTGGTTACTTCTTTCTTCACATCTTAAAAGACATTTTTGACATGGAATGAGACGTGTTATTAAAAATCGTCCTTCAGACGTGTGAACGAATCTGGTGCCTAACGTTGGATACCAATCTTCTAATAATAAATCAATATGATCAACAATCAAGGCAAGAAGCTGCGTTGTACTTTGAATATTAATATCAATTTCCATTTCAATTCCTAGTTCGGCATTATTTGGACGTACTCCAATTTTATTCATAGGAAAAACGAGTTCGAGAATGCTTTGTGAGATCAAATCAATATCACTCCAAATTCCTTCTTGCTTCAATTTGAATCTATTGTTTGCATTTCTATACGGAGAAGTTTGACAGGAAAATGGAATTTCTCTTAATTTAAATATTATAACATTGCCATAGTTTAGACTCAAGCCAGTCTGCCAAATCGACCAGAAAAAAGAGACGTTTTGATTTAATGCAAAGTTGAGATCTGGGTTCGTTGATGCCTCACGTGTAAGTGGATAAATACAGCGTAGAGCTTCTACAACTTGGTCATCAGCTAATATCCTTGTAATTAATCGACTCCAAAATCCTGATGGGAAGTAAGACATCAACAATAATCTTGAGATTGATTTTCCTGATTTGGGGATAGCACAAATGTCATAATTTGGTTGTTCTGCTTTTATGACTGATTCGTTACTGTCATATGAAGATGATAAAGGAAAAGAATTTTTTGTTCTCACTGCCCACCCACGAGAACGAGCGACAATCTTAATTGCTATTTCCTTTCCATCTAAACTTTCTTCTTCTGTCGGTAATAATGATGGAATCAATAAAGTTCTAGCATCCCATGTCAATGCAACTTCAAATTTGTTCAACAAGCTCACAATATAATTTCTATTATCATTTGTTCCAAGGCAGGAACTCTTAAAAAGCATAGCAAGGTCATCAATTTTCATGATCCCGTTTCGTGCGAATGGATTAATTTCCCGGATCGTAACAACATGTGCTAACATATCGCACAGCCATTGAGGATCGAGGAAATACAGATCGCGTAGTGTAGCATCATCATAATGCAAAAGAACTCCGTTATCATGCAAGAACATTGTAGCTTGATTCAGTTCAGAGTTATCACGAAAACCTTTATAGCCTCTACTTTGCATTTCTTGGGTCACCATATCACGATAATTCTCAGCATTTAAAACTGGATCAGCACCATTCAATTTCAATTGATTTGCAATTGAACCAACAACATCCTCAAGTGCGAGATAGCTGGCAGGGACTTTTTGCTGAAGTAAGTATTCTTTTGAGCCAGGCAGGCGTAACGAGAATGCTGTATCATAAATTAAATTTGCTAGCAGCTTGATGTTATGTCCGGTTTTGCAGGAGACTTCAATCGAGTCAAGAACTCTTGGCAATCCCATTTTTTCTGCATCTGCAACGGCTATAAATCTGTCACGAATAATTTGTTGTAACTCTTCTGCTTTCTTTGCTGGAAATTTTTCACCAACCTCGTCGTAATGAGTGCCAACAATTACACATGGTGAGTTTGGTGCACGTGCTTGAATATTTCCAAGCCACTGAAGCACTTCCGCTAAACCTTTTTTGCCGTCAATTATTCTCCATAGAACTAGATACAGGCTACGTTTTGACAAGAAATATTGATGTGTAGCATAATATTCCTTTTGCCCACCAAAATCCCACGTTCTAAAAACGACAGGTCCATGACTATTTCGTCGTTTCTCACAGACCCAGTCACCAATATCAACCCCAACTGTAGAAATATTTGTTCCGCGTGTAGTTTTTGTATTAATATTTTTATGACCCATTCTCTTAGTCCAATGATCTACTTGCTTCTTTTGATTGCGTGATCCGCCGCTTTCGTTGCGAAGCATTTCCAATAAACTTGTTTTTCCAATTCGTTGAATACCAACAACCATTAATTTCATTCTTGCATATTTCCGTGCGTCTTCAAGAACTGATTTAAGGTATCCAATAATGTCCATTGTCTTATACTTTTTGCTTTCAATCATTGATTTTAAGGGTTCTTGAAGGGAACATCCACGAGTATTGAGATTCCATAGACGCGACAATAAGCCCATATGGGCAGGTAAATCTGTTATATCCGTATTTCCAGAAATATTTAAAACACTCAAATTACTTAGTTCATGAATAGATAATGGGATTTCTTTTAAACAGTTATTGCTTATATCCAACATTGAGAGATTTGGGAAAATTAAACGTGACTTTGCGACACCAACAACACTCCATTCATATTCATCAGATTCACCCAAGGTTGATACATCATCAGTAGATAATTGTATTCTTGTAAGAAGATTATCGGCTAAAATCAAAGTTCGAAGCGAATCTAATCGTAAATGACGACGATGACAACAAACTGATTTTAATACAGCCGTTCTGAGTGATGTAATGTTATTTGAACTGGCAGAAGCTTTGACTTGTACTTGATCTGAAGTATATGAGGAAGTTGATGATGATTTTGAAGTCGATCCAGTGACCTTTTGATGACCCGGATCAATTTGTGGATTGTAGCATGCCAGATGTGGATCAGCTGCTGCGATTCTTGGTAAGCTAGGCCAGCAACTGATTTCATTGTGACCAAGATCCAGTTGCTTCAAACTCGATGGATAGCTTGTAATGTGACCCATGGATCTGAGTGAATTATAAGCCATATTAAGGCGAGTCAAATTAACAGCAAGACACGGAAGGGCAAGAGGTATGCTTGTAAATAAATTATTTGCAAGATTTAAGCTGCTTAATTGTGAGACTGACTGGTCGTTTTTTGCATCAACAAGCCTTAGTTCTTGGTCAGTAACTTCAAGTGACCTTGTCCACACATTATGTCTCATTATTTCAATCTTCGAGACTGTATTTCTAGTGTGAACTCCTCGATCATCAAATCCTGATAAATTGTTGAATAAATATGCATCAGCTACTGGACTAAGTGCGTCATTTGAGCAACATGATAGTTCTTCTGGTGGCAAACTTGGCAAATCCTTTAACAAATTAAAGGCAACATTAAGTTCACGAAGTTTCGGTGATCTCCATACTTCGAATGGCAATTCTTGTAATTTGTTATTTGAAACATCTAAAATGAGCAAACTAGGTATACGAAAAATAGCAGCTGGAATCATTTCTAAACGGTTATCTTGCAAGTATAATTCTTCTAGGACAGGTACATTATATTCATATTTTTTCTCTCTCTTTGACTTTACTGGCGTCAAAACGTCTTCGACTGGAATGCATTCAAGATTATTTTGACTAAGATTAAGATATCTTAAGCTGATAAGCGTAAAAAATTCCATTGGAATTTCCTTTAAATTATTATGCGAAACATCTATTCGCGTCAATGCAGTTAGAGACACTTGGTGTGCTTTTGGATGTCCTTTTAATTTTGAGTTGCAATGAAGTGCTGCTTCTACAAGCCAATTTGCTTTGATAATGTTCAATCGGAAGTTGTTACTGTGCCAATTGATCATTGTTGGTGTGTTTGGGAACAAGCTACTAAACGTTAAATTCCCTAAAATTGGACGAAATTCTGTTTCTGGCGATGAAATAGCTTTCTTATTGATCTTAAAGTCTGGATCAGGATGAGCCTTAATTGCTAATAATCTTGATATAATTTGTTCATCGGAATTGATTATTGCGATAGCTAAAGCAGTCGATGAGTCATCTTTGGCATTGAACTTTAACAATAAATCAACCATAGCTATCGATTTTTGTTTTGTTGCTTCTGCTAGCGGCGTATTACAAAACCCATAAATTTCATCAGTCATTCGTGGATCATTTTGTGGATCTTCTAATGGACGTGCGGATATATTAGCATCGGCATTATTTGTCAATAAAAGATGAGCAACTTCAATAAAACCACCGCGAACGGCTGCAAGAAGGGCAGTTTCACGTGCAGCGCCACATAATAAATTAAGTTCTAATGGGTTACGTAAAAACTCATTTGAGCTGTCTTCATTTTGCTGTTCGCGACTGAGACTTAATCGTGACATAATTGACATGATGCCAAGTGAAACTCTCCTTCCAGTTGGACTTAGGGGCGACAAAATGTTTTGGGATTGTTGCTGAGGGGAGACAACCTTTTGCGGTGAATCGTCGAGATCATGTTTCACTTTTATACATTTGACTTTCCACTTCAACAATAATTCTACCAATGATTTATTACCGAGTAGACATGATACGTACAGAGCACTTTGTGACGTCACGTCTTGAGAATTCGGGTCAAATGGCAATTTCCATTGATATTCACCGCTTGGGTCATGAAATGACATCAAATATTCTTCCGGATAATCAAATTTAATCAACATTTCAACAATTGCCATATGCCCGTTAATAACAGCTGCATGGAACGGCAACCATTTCTCAACAGTCACTTGCTGTACAAGTTCTGGAAATTTCCTCAACAAAATTTTCGCCACATTCAAATGTCCATTATAACATGCAATATACAATGGTGAGTAACTTGTAACTGTGTGTGCTCGTCCATCAGCACCGGCTACAAGAAGAAATTCTAAAATTTTTTCATTTCCAAGTGATGCTGCCAAAAATAACAATGTGTTCTGTCCAGATGGTGCCATATTTACAATAATCTCCTGTTCCACAGCAATCGCATCCAGTAATACTCTCACTGTCGTTTCCTCATTTCCATGTACAGCCTCACGAAGCTCATTGTGCTTCATCAAGCGAATTTGTTCACGAGAATCTAAAATACATTAAAAATTGAGATTGTTTCCATAGAAATTGTCAAATTAAAATTATATATTGTCGACAAAATAAAACAGAAAAATGGAGATTAAGATTAATAATGTTGTAATTGTGGTCATAGCGCATTTTCGTTGCTAAGCATGATGTTTGATTAGGAATTGAGTTTAAAAGGTGCGGCTGAGTTTTTCGGTGATTAATTTCCTCTATCAAATTTGAATCATTCTGTCTACTGCACCTTCCTTCCGTTTGGACTTCGGACGTAATGCATGATTAACTTTATGTTGTAAAATCAAAAAGAACATATTAATCCACACCGAAAAACTGACCTCAATTCAGCTCCATTTCCATTAAAAACATAGCAAAAAATTATCTCGAAACACTACCCATTATTCTCCATGGTTCAATGACCTCATCAACAAAGTAATCGCAAGCATCTAAAGCACTTTCAGCACCAACGCGAGTTTCATCATGAAAATTCCACGACATTTTTATTTTATTTGTCAATTTTTTAATTCTTGTAAACTTGTGGGAGATGAGTTTTTAACAAATTTTGTCACAGTTAAAAAGGTTTATTAAGCAATAAAAAATTTCACAGAATTTACTGTATTTTTCTTTAAATAAACATAATTAGCAATTCATTTTTTGTTGTTTACGGTAGAGTAATCACAATTATGCATTATTAGCATGAAAAAAATAACTAAACACGTCATTTTCTATTAAAATCTTTATACTGTCTGTTGAATTGAAAAAATTATTTTTCCTTCTTTTCTATGTCGCCTCTTCTTTTTCATTCATAAAATCTACTTGAAAAATCGATATTTTATGCAGAGCAAAAAACTTTTTGCTGCTGTGACTTTTGTGAGCAAGAGAAAATATATTCTCAGCTCCCATATGATATAACTGAGAAGGAAAACACGTGGAAATGAAGTTTTTCGTGGGAAGGGGGGTTTGAATGTTTGTAAACAATACCATAAGTGGATTGTTCTCATGAGAGAGTCCTCTCTCATAATTCTCATAAAAGCTTTGTGACAATATGAAAAATTATTTCGCGCCATTTTTTTTTAAAAAACAAGTTATTGCATGTATCAAATATCATTTAGGGGAAGTTTTCATATTGATTAATGTTGTAATTGCATGATTGCGTTTTATAAACCATGCGAATTTAAATTTTATGGCTGTCACATAAAAAAAAATTAGATTACTCACCAATTGCCTTTTTTAGCAATTTTACACAGTCTTCATGTCCATTGCGTGCTGCTAAATCTTGTGCTGTTAATCCATTAACGTCACGAATGATGAATGAAGCTTGTGCATCAAGCAAAGTTTTCACATTCGTATGATATCCTAACTCTGCAGAAAGATGCAATGCAGTCTTATTTTCTCCTCTAATTCCACATTGCAGATTGATGTCAGCTCCGGCATTGATGAGAACTTGAATACATTTTGAGTTACTCGATACGGCAGCGGCATGAATAGGTGTTCGTCCCCACGAGTCTATACAATTGATATCATGGTAATCTTGCAGCAAGTCCAACAACAATTCAACATTGTCCCACAAGGCGGCTTGAATAATCAATGAATTATTTCTTCTAATATTAATTTGTGCTATAAATTGACGAACTTTACGATTGCGATTGCAACACTTTGAAAACATCTTTTTTTTAATAGTTTGAATGTTTCATCACGGTGGTTTAAAAAATACTAAAGAGAGTCAGCTATGTATTTTTGTTGGTAAAACTGTAAGCAGTGCACTCATTTATGGCTTGATTTTTGGGTAAGAAGAAGAGCAGAGCTTAACTCAACTGTATCATTTTACATTAAATTAGATTAATGAGCTCCATAACAAATATAAAACGTGGTTTTTATGAGTATGATGTGAGAAGGTAGATATTAGGCGCAGTTCTATTAACTATATCAATAATTTTTTATTAAATTCCATTTTTTTATAATTTAAGAATATTACGAGTGCCTCGTATCTGGTCACAAAATTCCTTGCTATAAAACTGACCCAAATTTTTTTTCTTTATTGAACACAATTTAAGACTTTTAGGATTTTCGGATGAAAAACTCTACTAAACCAATAACAACAAAACGATTCCCAAACTCTTGTTCATCAAGCCAAACCATACTTCCTCTTTCAAATAAATGATAATCACGGGTAAATAAACACTAACACACTGAAGAGTATTAAAATAAGTAAAAACGAAGTGGCGAGTATCTGTTACAAAATCAGTATCTATGGTTTTCATATTGAGTCAGTAATTTTATGTGGGCTTCTCGAAAAGAAACTATTGAAAATGCTTCGAAAAGTCAATTTGTGAGAAAAATTGATGATTATCGATTGTTGATAGTTGGAACTGATTTTCTATTGATGATTTTCGTGCTAATTTTTCCCTTTTGGCCTACTCAACTTTTTTTACATTGTTATGCAAGTCTTAGTTTCAGCTCTTCATGCCATAAAATTAAATTTGAAGTTGTAAACGAAAAAGTAAGTAACAATCAGTTCCAGTTGTTGACTGTATTTTTTTTTTTTATTTTTATACATTCAGCAATGTTTCCGTCAATTATTTGATATGTGAATTTATTACTAGATAACAATCGCATTCGTTAGTCGAGAAATTACTTTAATTTTCTGATATTCCCCCCTTTTTTTGTCATTTATATCATTTTTAATGTTTTTTTTTTCTGAATAGGAAAACTATAAATTTTTTTCTTTCACTTGCTTTTACCTTGATGGAGCAAGCGTCCAGCGAAATCTTCACTACTATCTGGTGAATCCATCGTCACATTATATTTTGAACATTATTTTTAATAGAAATGACTGAGGTTTGATAGCTAAATAATATTAAATCAGCACATCTTGTGATAAAAGAGAGTAAAATTGTTTTTTTTCTTTCTTTTTCTGTGTTATACAATCCTTAAGACAAATTTGCATGAATTTACTTATTGAAAGTGCAACTTAGTCGATTTTTGGAGTAAATCTTAAAGATGTTCGAAAACCAACTTAAATCAGTAATTTTTGAATAATTGATAATGAAATTTAATTCAATTATGTCGCACATTCGAAATTGCATGTGCAAGACTGTGATTCACTTAAGGGTTAAAAACCACACGTTTTTAGGAAAACATTTGATAGGTTCAGAATATTCAGAAAAATTAAGTTCATTTCGTTACGAAACAATTTTTTGAAACTTAACCACAGAATGTCATTCTACAAAAACCGATACATTGAATTCTATTGAATAATTGCAATAATTCTTTATCTTCAATTTTTTAATAACATTCTACAAAGCAAATTAATTTTATCCACAAACTGGAATTGACAAACAAAACATTTGCTTGGATTTGAAACACTTCAACAGTTTTAACGTTCACCAAAATTTCATTTCAGTTCATTTTAATTTGGTTCTAATGTAAACACAAATCTGACCTAGTTTTGTTCGATCATCACTTATTTACAACTTTTTTTCAATTAAACTTGTTTAAAACTTCCAAATGGCATCGTCAAAAAAATTCAACATCCTTTGCCTTCATGGCTATCGACAGAATGGAGATACTTTTAAAAATAAAATTGGATCCTTCCGTAAAATTCTTAAACCATACGCAGAATTTTCATTCATTGATGCACCACATCTTGCTAAGAAGATCCTTTCAGAAGATGAAATTGGCGAGGAGTTCAGGAGCTGGTGGTTTAATCAGGAAGATGGAAACTTTACCACTGAAATGGGACCGATAGACACAGGATTTGATGATAGTTTGAAACTTGTTGAAGAGACTTGGAAGAATGGAAATTATGATGGAATTTTAGCATTTAGTCAGGGAGCTAGTTTTTTATCAGCAGTTTGTGGGATGAGGATGCAGAATTGTAAGATTTTATTCTTTATGATTAATATCAAATAATCAAGGTATTTTTTTAATTTACACAGTGACATTGATTAATCCAAAATTTGTAATTCTCGCATGCGGCTTTCATTCTGTAAGTTCAAGCCACACAAAATTCTATAAAGCAAAAATAGACATCCCATCAATGCACATTGGAGGAGCAACAGACAAAGTTATTCCCCATGTGATGCATTTAGAACTCGAAGAGGCATTTTTGAATCCATTTGTGTATCATCACGAAGGTGGACATTTAATTCCAGCCTCTTCAAAAGATAGAAATGCTTATAGAAATTTTTTTGATGATCTTGAAATAAAAAAAAACTGAATAATAGATTATTGATATTTTTAAAGCAATAGAAGTATGAATCAAATGGATTTTCGGGTTTGAAATATTGCAGACAGATTAAACAGACATCGTTCTTGTAGATCTGTTTTTTATAACATTTTCACACATTCAAAATTTTTAATGATACGAACTCTTATAAAAGTTTAAAGATTAATACAGAATCATTTTATCATTTACAATTGTGTCCGCTTCAAATTATTATTTTTTTGACCATACTTCATCTGTTTTGGCAGCTCTTTGTTAATCTCAAAATCATGCAATTTTAGAATCGTTTCGCTTTTCATTCGAATATCGATAAACAATTTATAAATAAACTGAGTTCTGAACATCATAAATCATTATCTCAATAATATAATCGGAAACCTATTAAGCAGGTGATTTACTGGCCTTCCAAAGTGTCATGTGTTTTAAAAATTTGCCTAATGTCTCCCACGAGCATATTGAACTTATCTCTTTGAAATATCAAAATTGAAAAAAAAATATATGAACAAGATTGTGCAAGGGTAATTGCATTTTTAAATGAATCTGTTCGAATGAGAAAATAATTAGTATAAAAAGGGAATAAATGAAAAGTAGAGTCGAATAAACGTTTGACACAAAATTTGAAATTCTAAATGACAAGTTTAATTATAAACTTACTATAATTTAATTAATTATAAAAATTGTAAAGACGCAATTACTGGGAATGGTACTTTTTACATCAGTTCAAGTAAGTAAAACTTTTAAACATATTTAAAAAAAATACTTTTTTATTTTTTTTGCTGTACTATTTCTTTAAAAATTCGATATCAAACGGGATGTTTGAATGCATTCTTTCGCAACTCGACGTGATTGATAAAAATAATCCTTATGCTAATTTTAATAATTTAAAAATCGTACGTTTTAATCGAACGACATTTGTTATCAATGGAAGCTTTGAGGTTTTTGTGGATTCAATTGAGGATTATGAAGTGAGTAATTTAACTTTGTTTAATGGCTTTTTAAAAAACAAAAACTATATTTAATCTTTTCCATTTTTTTTTCTGAAATGAATACAAACTTACTCCATACAAAAACGGTCCCGATAATATTTGTAATGCTTTGAAAAAAGACGAACTATTTTATCCTTCAATCCACGAAAAAAGTGAAAATTTTCCAGAATTAGGAACATGTGATTTTACGAAAGGAAATGTTTATAAATTAAACAATTATTTGCCGAATCTCGATAAAGTCGATTATTCAAGGTTTTAAAGTTTATGGACAAATTTATAACATTGCAAGTGGTTAAGAAGAAAAAGTACTTAATAGTGCAACTAAAAAACAATTTCCAAATATGTATTTTAAAATTGAATTTCATTTTTCTCATTCATTCAAAAATTTTATTGTTTATGCTGGTTCAAGCTGAATCTTCAAATCAAGGTTTGCAATAAATTAAGGCTCTTATTTCGATCTTCTGTAGGCGTGACGTAATATTTGACAATATTCCTTTCTTAAGGTAATCTTTTATGAAAAAGAAAAGAAAGAAAATAAAGTTGAAAATGTCTGGATTCAAACCAACTTTTTTTGTGTTTCCATTTTTAATACTATACCAAACTTGACCCAAATACTTTACCTATCTGACCAAAAAAGTACTTAATAGTTTTATTTTAGATTTTTTTCAATAATTAAATTTCTATTTTTTTTAAAATAAAAGGATCAATTATTTCGTTTCAAAATTGAAACTAAAGGACGACCTTTACTTTTCTTTTTGCTTTCATTTACATTTAAACTTTTCAGAATGGATAAAACACCTTTCATAAATTGAATTCTTATTTAAAATGCTCTTTTTCAATAGCTTTCAATATATCATACATATATTCTTTCTTTTTACTTTAATTATTCTGTTACTTATCCCTGTTAATTGGGTCTTGTTGAAAAGTGTGTCATTATCAATATTTTGGGTCTGTAATTCTTGGGTATGTCTTTGACGCTTCATGGGTACTACGCCTGCTTCCACTTCCACTTTTTTATTAGGAAACGTTATGTTGATTATTGTATTCATAAAATCATAAAAAATTAATAATTGTGTTTTTTAAATTAGAAAATCTATGTAGATCTATGTAGATAGATGTTGGTGGGCACCAATCAAAATTTTTGGTTTTTCAGTGAATTCTGAGCGTGAGCGTGATAACTTAAATGTTCATGGAAAAGTAGAAAGTTTAAGAAAAATAATTAAATAATAAAGGACTTTGCTCCCTAAAATTTCTACCCTAATTTACCACTGTATTATTATTATTATTACCACTGTATTAATTATTGATATTTTGTAGATTTATCTTTTGATGAGCAATTTGATAAATCACTTTTTAATATCTCAAAATTAGATGCTTTTAATGATGTATATTCCTATAAAAGAGAGCAAATTGATTTGAAAGTTTCAAACCTATTCGAGTTTTTAAAATGAAATTTTCAAATTTCAATTTTCAAGCGATAATTATTGTGACTTTGCTATCATTTCATGTAAGCAGTTATTTATCATTTGAAGTTGCTATATTTTAAATTTTTTTTTTTGAGTAATTAGAAATCCAATGGAATGTTCGAATGTATTCTGACTCAACTTGATTTGAAAGTCAAAGACAGTCCACATTCTGATTTTAGTAACTTGAAAATCGTTCGGTTTAATCGCACAACATTTGTTCTTAATGGAAGCTTCGAACTTTTTGTAGATTCGATTGACGATTTTAGCGTAAGTTATGATATAAAGATTTTCACTTCCTGCAATAAAAACAAAACTTTTCATAAAGACATTATGTAGTGTTTATAAAAAAGCTGGAAACGAGTATAAACTTACTCCATACAAATTTGGTCCAATTGATGCATGCGACGCGCTAAAAAAAGATGACTTTTTCTATCCATCAATTCATGCGACAACAGAAAACTTTCCACCATTAGGGACTTGTGATTTTACAAATGGAACAGTTTATAAAATTATAAATTTTTTGCCTAATCTAAGCCAAGTACCGCCAGTTTTTCAAAGTGGAGACTATATGGTAGAATGTGACGTTTTTAAAGGAGGAAATTTCACACAAGGATTAAAAATTTATGCTCAACTTTTTAATATTGCAAGCGAAAATGCTTTGATAGGATAACGAAAAAATACCGAAGATACCGTCCCGAAGTCAAAAATCGAAGAACAGTTTAAATTTTTTCTATTTTTTTAAAATAATTCAGAGCATCATATAAATGAAGAGTCTATTAATAATACTTATAAAATTATAAACTAGTTATAGACAATGTCTTTATACTGGAAATGATACTTTCGACATCAGATCAAGTGATTAAAACTTTGAAATAAAGTTCTTTTTTTTTAATTTATCTTTATACATTAGATAACAAACAGGATGTTTAAATGTTTTCAATCCCAACATGATGTGATTGATAATGATAATCCTTATGTTAATTTTAACATTTTTAAAGTGGTTCGTTTCAATCGAACAATATTCGTCATTAATGAAAGCTTTAAAATATTTGTGGATTCTATCGAATATTATGCTTTAAGTCAAGCTATAAAAATATTCATTAAAGTCAATGTTATTGTAAAGATTGAATGATTTAAGTCCTAAATCTCATCTTCATGTTATATTAAATATTTAAGACTTCATGTCATGTTTATTAAAAGAAAGTTGGAAATAAATACAAACTTCTTCTATACAAAATGGCCCCGATAGTTTTTGTAATGCTTTGAAAAAGGATTAAATGTTTTATATACGATTTTACAAAAAAAAATATATTTATAAAGTAAACACTTAAAGTGGGGATTACATGATCGAACGTAACATTCAAGATATATAGATGGGCTCATACAGAGTATACTTGACCATACTCGACCATACTATTTTTTGTGTACTTATACAAACAAAAATTTTTAAAATTTTCTATTTTCAAGTTTTCATTTAAATATCGACAGATGCAACAACATTTGACTTAAGTCAGTTACTTTAAATTAAAGCAAAGCATTTGCAATACTCCTGTATCAACAAAACTTAACAGAAAGTTGAAAATTTTGCAAAACAAAAATTGAAAATTTTCTTTTATAGTGTTAGTGCATGTTAGTGTTTTTAGAAAATTCAAATTTTTGACGTTTAAAAACTGTGATATTTTTGTATGAGCACATCTATATATCTTGGTAACATTACAAAATGAATGGGTTTTATTTAAGGATTTAAAGTTTATGGACAAATTTATAACATTACAAGTAGTTAAAGGTGTTGTTAAAAGAAAAAACCTTTTAATCTGAATCCTAATGATTAATTTAAAATTTTGATATTTTTTAATTGACATACGATGATAAAGTATTGTTATCTTGAAAACTAAATCATGTAAATCAACTTTAAGTATCTGCTCATTAGTTCCATTATTATTTTTAAACTATAAATAGGAATGTATTCGTCGTATTTACTATTATTTAGTTATATTTTAGTTCAAGTAAATACTAAAATTTTATTTGGCTTGCTTTTAAGATTCATTAGGTTTTCTTTAATATTGTTTAATATTGTTAACTTTTTGATGGATTAGGAATATAATGGAATGTTTGAATGTATTTTAACACAATTTGAAGTTGTTGTTAAAGACAGTCCATATTGTAATTTTAACAACTTAAAAATTGTTCGTTTTAATCGAACAACTTTTGTCATTAATGGGAGCTTCGAGATTTTTGTGGATACTATTGAAAGTTTTGATGTAAGTTTTATAATGAAAAGTTTTATTTAAAATTAAAATATGTTTACATCTTCTTGTTAATCTTTGAAGACTCTATGCAGTATGTTTAAGAAAGCTGGGAACGATTATAAACTAACTCCATATAAAGTTGGTCCAATCAACATTTGTGATGCTTTAAAAAAAGACGAACTTTTCTATCCATCAATTCATGCGGCATCCAAAAATTTTCCAGCATTAGGGACATGTGATTTTACAGAAGGAAAAATTTATAAAATAATTAACTTTCTGCCTAATCTTGACAAAGTACCACCAGTTTTTCAGAGTGGAGACTACATGATCGAATGCCAAGTTACTAAAGCTGGTGAATTAATTCAAGCATTAAAAATTTATGGGCAACTATATAACATTGTAAGCAAAAGTGGGATACAAGTAAAGGGATAATAAATGTTAAAGATCTATACCAAAAGACATCAGAATAAACTATTTTTTTAATCCTCAGATAATACTTTTTACATGAAATTGAATTCATTCTTCAATTTTTGACAAAAGTGTCAAACTACTGTTTTTTATAAACTATGTAATTGGTAATTTTCTGGAATGTCCAAGGAAATAGGACTAGGGGCCGACGAAGAATTACTTGGCGTACAACTGTTGAACGGGAGGCGGAACAACAGAACAAGAAGCTGCAGGAAATAGCAGCTTTGGCCCAGAATCGAGTGCGATTCAAATGCTTTGTGGACGCCCTACGCTTCATAGTGGAGCAATAGGAACCCATCATCATGTAATTGGTTCTATGAATTCAATTTTTTAAATTTATAAAATCCAACTTATTAGATAATAATCAAGTGAAGCTTTTCGGCACTAATGAATCAAATTATTGCTCCAAAATGATCAAAACAAATTTTATTGAAACTTACAATTATCAGTAATTGAAAATTTACATCACTTTAGATGATTTATAAAAATACACGTACAAATAAAGTCAAACTAATCAACTATATCACATGAAGTATAGAAGTTAAAATGAAAAGTTCAACTATTATTTTATACGTTACACTTTTTGTATCTATTCATGTAAGTTTTTTTGTGAGTTTGTTAATTTAAATTTTATATGTTTTAAATTTTTTAAGGATTCAAATGCAATGTTTGAGTGCATCATGACACAATTTGACCCAATTGTTAAAAATTGCCAATCAATGAATTTTGATAAAATAAAAGTCGTTCGTTTCAACCGCACAACCTTAGTAAGTAATGGATCATTTGAACTAAATTTTGATGGATCATTTGCCGAAGCTGAGGTGAGTTATACGTTTTTGTTGCATTTATGTTGTAAAAAGTTATCCTTTTCCATTCAGGGATTATGCAATTTTTATAAGAAAGCTGGAAATGAATATAGACTAACTCCATATAAAGTTGCTAGAACAAATTTATGCAAAGGTATGGCAGAAGATGAATATTTCTACCCTGCATTTCATACATTCACAAATTTTCCACCTGTCAAGACGTGTGCTTTCAAAAATGGATTTACTTACTTTATTAAAAATTATTTGCCAGATTTAAGTAAAATACCACCCGTTATAGGAAGTGGAGACTACATGCTAGAATGCAAAATTTTTAAAGGTGAAGAATTTATACAGGGGTTTAAGACTTATGCTCAAGTCTACAACATTCCGAATTCTGGGTAAAATTTTTGGGTTCTTAGGCTGATTTAAATTAAGTTTCATATGTTAAAATATTGTTTTTGTATAATTTTTATGTAACAAATATTTTGCATTGATTTTTAATCTACAAAAACTTTTGCTGTAGATGTGTATCTTAAAAAAAATCATGATTAATTACAGTGACATGTTAGTTGTTAACATTTTTTTTAAATAAAAAGCTAATCAAGTTAATTCAGTGCGTCAAATAAAGTTTAGAATTCAGAATGAAACGTTTGAATAAAATTGAAATTTTCTCATTGGGATTACTATTTTTGCTCTTAATTCAAGTAAGTGTAGCTCCTTGTTTTGTAGTCTAAATATTGTCGTACAATGCTCATGGCTCTTATGTTACTTGACTTATTGATTAAAATTAAAATTATTAAATATTCAGGATTCTTATGGACTTTTTGAATGCATTTTGATCAAATTCGAGCCAATGATCAAAAACAGTAAAATTTTTGATTTGGATAGTTTCAAAATTGCTCGTTTCAATCGAACAACATTTGTTTTTAATGGATCTATGGAGATGTCACTTGATTCTTTTGAAGATCTAGAGGTGAGCAAAAACATTGAATAATTATTTAAAGTTTTATAAATTATTTCTCTTATTTAGGCTGTCTGTGAATTGTTCAAAAAAGCAGGAAATGACTACAAATTAACACCTTATAAAATGGGACCTGCGAACATTTGCAAGTTGATAAAAGACGATGATTTCTTTTATGCTGGATTTCATAAGCACACTGATTTCCCTCCATTAAAGACTTGTGATTTTAAAAAAGGAGTTAAATATAATATCAAAAATTATTTGCCAGATATGAGTAAGGTACCGCCAGTTTTTGAGAGTGGAGACTATATGGTTGAGTGTAAAATTTCAAAAGGAGAAGAATTCATTCAAGGAACAGTTACTTATTCACAAATGTATAATATTGCAAGTGCTGGACTCGGATAAAGTCGAAAATTTAAAATTTTATTAAAATAAAGAAATTAAACGTGTGTGAATAGTCTTTAAATGTACCAAAATACAGCTCCACTGAGTTAAAAACACGTTCATCAACTGACAATTTTTTTCTCTGGTATTTGCAATTATTTTTTAAACAACGACAAACATTGCAAATTTTTAAGTGTCAAAGCACGTTGAAAAAATGTTTATCTTTTCGTCATAACACAAGACCTCACTTCAGCTGCTGCTTTAAAATAAAAAAAAATTGCAATTCAGCAGAATTAAAATAGAGAACAAGAGAATCAAAAAATTTCAATGAGCGCGCGAGAGAAGATGGAAATGAGAAAGTCTTAAGTTGTTCAATTTTTTTTCTTTTTCAGCTCATTTTCTTCAGTTACAACTTAACAGTCATCGTGATCGGGCGGAGAAGTGAAAGGTTTGTGTAGATTATTTTTATGATAGGCTGAATTGAGTGTTTTGGAAGTGATTTGAGTGCAGTAAAAAATATTGGTTTTAATCTGATTTTGTGCTTATTATTGTTGATGAAAAGTAATTAGTTTCATTATTTTAAAATTATAATTTCTTAAAGTTTCAAAAAAATTAGAAAACCAGAAAAAAAAATTCAAAAATTAGATACAACAAAAAATAGTTGTCAAAATAAAGCAAAAAAAAATCTGACCCACATTTTAAGAAGGAACAGGAGTGCTTTGCTTGCTAATAAATAATGAAAAAAGATACAACATGCAATCGATGATGTTGATGATGTGAAAAGAGACGTAAAAGGCAAAATTCTTTATTTAAAAAAAACATTTAACATAAATAATATTAAGGCACGTCTTAAAATGGCAAGTGAATTGTAGTGCTTTTGTGTTAAAAAATCAAAATTTTCTACTTCATAAAAATTCAATAAATCATGAAATAAAATAAAAAGAAAAATTTAATGTGAAATGAAAAAGAAAATTGAAATAATTAAAAATTGCACTTAAGTGCAATAATAGTGAAAATTAACAGAAAAGCTTATTCATTCATTTGTTCATTCATACATTGATTGGATTGAATTATTTGTAAAGATACAAAGAAAAAAGAGCCGACAAACCAAAACTTTTCTTTTTAATCTTCTTCTTTACTTAATTTACGTTTTAATCATTCAGGTAAAGTGAAAAATATTGATTTGAACGATTTATTAAATGAGCAGCTAAGGGATGATTCATATTATTTAAAAAATTATTCAGTCAATCAAGAGTAGATTAAAATTCCAATAAACTTTTAATTGATAGACAGTATTTACAAAAAACCCCAAAAGTGAAACTGAATAGGACAAAAAGTGATTTTCATACTAAAAATATTATTTCAAGCTCATTAACACATGTGCATGGAACTGACATGTGCTTGATGACATCTGTTCCATATTGATGCAAAAAAAATTTCGATCAAAATGCGAAGATGATTTCCGGAACCAAAAAAATTGTTTTTTATTGGATAATCTCCGGCTGTGTTACTTAAATTTACTCACATTTGTCTTGACAACTTTCGTTTAGTGGGATTGAATGTATTTTTGTTTTTGTTTGTCAGATTGAATAAAGAGCTTGAAAATAAATATGGAGTATCAATATTGTATTTCGCTTTCCGGTAATGCAAATTAAGACTCAGTGAATCAACAGAGAATCTTTGTGAAATTGAACAGGAGATTAAACAACAACTTTCTTAGGAACTTGATATGAAACGATGATATTCGATATGAAAATCTAAATCGTGGCTTGATATTTTCATTTTATATATTTATTAATAATTCACATTTTAGGCTCTCGTTTCGATCTTCTGGGGGGGTGACGTGATACTTTTCAGGTCCGTTCTAACAATATTCCATTCGTGGGTAATCTTGTAGCTCTCGTTCCCATTTCTCCCGCTACACTTCAAGTTCCTGACCCGTTCCTTAATCTAACGTTGCCCAAATGTCCAATTATAGCTTGATCTCGTATATTGAGCAGTCGAAGTATCTAAACTTCCGAAAAAGAACAAATTTGGAAATGGCTGGATTCGAACCAATGACCTTCGAGTTGCCATCCCAAATTTGAGCCAAGCGCCTTACGTATTCGACCAGCAAGGCACTTAACTGCTTATTTGATTAATACAAGTATCATACTAGAGTATTCATATATTAACCAGATTTTATTTGTTTTAAAAAGAACATTTTTTTATGTCTGACCTTTCAATTTCATCCGAAAATATCAGCATAATTAATGAGAAACCGTTAATTTTCTTGAACTTTACCCAAATCATCTAGATTTTGTGTCCATGAAATGTTCCTAATCTTAAACTTTATGCATCCTATTTGTCATTTGATAGATTTTAAAATTCAATGAGATCCATGCTTAATGTTAAAGAACTTTTCTCAATAATTTAATATTACACGAAAAAAATGTTGAATTTTGGTACTGAATAGCAGCAAACAAAATAAACTTTCAAGTCATGTCACTTGCCCCTTTTTCATTGAATAAATAGCTGCAAGTTATGCCAATTTATAGCACGAAAACTGATGTAAACATGGTCAAACTATAAAATGCTCTTTCTAATGAAACAAACCTTTAACCTAAATTTTGCATGATCTCGTGCTGAAGTATGAAAAGCGATAATCTACATCTGCTGAAAGACATTAAAAGCTTGTTTGGCGGCATGTTTTGTACTGCAGAAAAATTTAAAAAAGCATCAATGTTTTCATAATGATTGACACATTTGAATATTTATTAATTTCATCGGAATCAAGGTTGAATTTAGGAGATCAAATTAATTTTTTTTAGACGGATCTGTTGTCAAGCCAATGTACTTAAAAGAATTTTAATTTTTAATATTTTCAAAAGAAGTGAAAATGCGAGAAAAAAAATTCACTAATTATATATAATCCTTTATTTAAACAATGAAAATCACGGCGGAACAAAAGAAATATGAATAAATTGATATTAACCTAGTCGGTTTTAAATCAAATGAGTGCTTGATGTGTTGTAGATTAATGTAATGGAGTAATAGAGCAAGAAAAACCTTGTCTTAATGAATTAAGGTCTAAAAAAAAATAACTTACGGAAAAAAAAAGACCAAGTCGAATCAAATTTTATATAAAAAAAAAGAAAGAGAAAATTAAAGAACTAACCGTTAATAACTAAAGAGATGTAATGAACTATTGGGGTTTAGGCAATTTATGTTTTACTCTAAAACTCAGTGAATCGTAATCATATTGACCTAAAGATGAAAATAAGTCGTTAGAATGATGCGTTACCTTTCTATAGAAGTTAGCAGCTAAGCGAGGAATGAAATTTGAAAGAAGAGGAATGTTTGCAGAATCATGGATCATTTTAGTAGACTTGAAATCGTCCCAGTGAACGTCTAATATCATACGGATCATTTTGTTCTGGAATAACTGGAGTTTGTTTAAATGACAAACTGCAGTATTTGCGAACACAGGACAGGCGTAGGTCACAATTGGTCTGATGCAGGATCTATAAATTCTGAGTTTAGAATCTTGCGATACACAAGACTTTCTGCTTAAAAGACAATAAAGGCTAGAGAAGCTAGCAGCACTGGCTTTGTTGATGACATTTTCAATGTGTTGCTTGAACGTGAGTTTCTTATCAAGAGTTACACCGAGATACTTGACTGAATCTTTCCATTCAAAAGATTCACCAATACACGTAATAGTATCGTTCGATAATTTCTGCAACATTTTCGTTGACTTAGAGAAAACTATGAATTCTGTCTTGGATTCATTTAACTTGATTTTCCAGTCATGGAAATATTTTTGTAATTGACTTACTGTTTTTGTAAGCTCAAATTTGATTGAATTAAGGTTTTTCCATGGCGCCTGTATAAAATAAGCTGTGTCATCAGCATAAAGACACAAATTGCCTTTGGTAGGTATTGGAATGTCATTCAAGAAAAGATTAAACAAATGAGGGGCAATAAGAGAGCCTTGAGGGACACCGGAGATGACTTCAAAGATGAATGAAAGAGCTGACTGACAAGCGACAAAAGCAGAACGATCAGTAAGATATGAATGCAATATTTTGATGAGGTAGTTAGGATATTTGCTTTTAATAAGTTTATGAATAAGTCCTTCGTGCCAAACACTGTCAAATGCTTTCCGCAAATCCAATAATGCCATTCCAGTACTCTTATTTTCATTAAAGCCAAACGAAATTTTTTCCGATATTCGGAGAATCTGATGAACTGTGGAATGCTGAGATCTAAATCCACATTGCTGTTTGATGAAAATTTTATTTTCAAATTCAAAGTCATTAAGTCTGTTCAAAATAATTTTTTCAAAGCATTTTCCAAGACAAGAAAGGAGCGAGATAGGACGGAAATCATCGGGAGAGCAGTTACTACACTTAGCTTTGGGAATGGGCATAATCTTAGCGATTTTCCAATTTAATGGAAAATAAGAGAGATCTAAACACGAATTAAATAGTTTAGAGCATAATAAAATAAATTGAGATGAGTTACTCAAGAATTTAAGAGCACAATTGGGAATTTTATCATGACCAAAGGCTTTGCGTGGATTTAAATTTTGCAATACTAGTTTAATTTCTGTCTCAGTTATTAAGTCAATGTGAGAATGATTTAAAAATGGGATAGATTGAATGGAATTAGCCACTGCTGTGTCATATTTTGAATGAGAATTTTGTACAGCACTAAATGATGTCTGAAAGGATCTTGCAAATGCGTCTGCTTTGTCTTGATCTGAATAATATGTTCCTGCACTGTCTGAAATCGGAGGGAAGGAATGATTCTTCCTTTTAAGAGACTTAGCAAACCTAAAAAGAGAGTTATCTCTAAAAGTTAAATTACTAAGCTTGTTTGCAAATTTAGATTTCTTCTCTTCCAAAACTTGATGTCGAATCATTCTGTTCAACTGGTTCATTGAAGATTTGAAAGACGGATCCCTTGATCGTTTGTACAAATTACGGAAATGATTACGATTTTTAATCAACAAATTTACAGCGGGCGAATATTTATATCGAAGCAGAAAAATCTTTTTCCTGGGAGCTGAAGAGCTTAATGCAGATGAAATTAAGGAAGAAACGGAGTCAATAGCCAAATCGATTGAATTTTGTGAATTAAGTTCAGTGGTGAGCAAATAATGGCAATTGGCTTCAACTGATCGAAGAAATTTTGGCCAATTTACTTTAGATAAATTCAAAATATCAGAGTCTTGTCTTGAAGTTGAACCATATACAGTAAACAGAATAGGCAGATGATCTGAAGAAAGATCGTTTACAACCTTTATTTTACTAAAAGAATCAAAACTTTTGGCAACTACAAAATCAACTATTGAGGGATCTCCATTGTAAGGATACAATGTAGGCTCGTCAGGTTTGAAAACTTTGTAATTCACAACATTCAGTAAGTTCAATAAGTCAGCACCTTTCCGATCAATAACGAGATTGTTCCATTCAATGTGCTTACAATTAAAATCGCCAGCAACAACATGAGGACCGGTTTTACAAAGTACTTTTTGAAAGAAAGTTTTGGATTGAGCACGCGAAGCAGACGGAGAGCAATAGATGGACGAGAATTTCACAGCTGTATTATTAATGAAAATACTAATTGAACACGACTCAGCGTAATCAAAATTGGTTTGTGTAAAACCAAAATGAGGAATAGAAGAACGGATAAATATAGCTACTCCACCACGAAATCGATCAGATCTATAAGAAATAAAACCGGGAATATCAAAAGTCACACCATTAGTGAGCCATGATTCGCAAATTAAAACAACATCAATAGAATGTCTATCGATAAAAATTGAAAGTTCTGTAAATTTGTTGCATAATGAGTGTGAATTCCAACTTATGAATTTAAGATCCATTGTTGGTCAACGAAAGTGAAGTTGTGTACTTCAAAAGGATGGTAAGTCGACTGCTTTGATCATTACATAAACTAAGCTCATCAACCATTTTGACAAAGACATCAATAGTTTCATTGATATTTGGCAATGAATTAAGCTTTGCTTGAGCTTGAGAAAGTCTTGTAAATGCATTTTTGTTAGAATGATTAGATTCACCGAGAACTTGAGCAAAACTCACCGATTGAGGATTAACATTATTGCTGGATGTTGAAGTTTGTTGTGTACCAAGACGTGGAAACTGAGATGATGCGATGACAGGTGCTGGAGCACGACGTTCAATTATTGGTGATGGTCTCTTGGATCGAGCTTTAATCGTCTCCATATGCTGCTTGTAAACAGGACAGCCACGGTGATTCGATGAATGAGGACCTCCGCAATTGCAGCATGTTGGATCGCCTTCACGAGAAGTTCTTGAACACGAACCTGTTTCGTGTGATTGTGAGCACTTCACACAACGAGGAGTATATCCACAATTGTTTGCTGAGTGGCCCCAAGATTGACATTTAAAGCATTGCGTAACTTTCTTGCTGGATTTCCTCATAATTTCCCATTTAACGACAATTCCATCAACATATTTGTGAGAATGATTCAACAAATTAAGGTTCATTGATTTCTCAAAATGAACTAAATACATGACATAGTTGTCATTACGTATAAAGTCGGTGACTTTAATTGCAGGCACAGCTGAATCTTGAAGCGCTTTAAGAGTTTCGTCAGGAGTTGCATTATAGAATCCCTTTAGCAAGAAATATGTTGGCTTATTGACTGAATCAGTGAATGTATGATATCCAATTTGCTGGGACTTGATTTTGTCGATTAGCTTGGTCTTATCATCAACGTTGAAACAAATTACTTGCGTTGAATTACTGCCTCGTACTTTCAATAACGGTCTTGAAGAAAAATTAACTGCCATTAAAACAGTTTTCATGACTTGAATGTTTGTTTTGACAAAAACAGGTTTGACTGTCTTGTCATTTGATGGAACTTGTGATTGAGCCATTGAACGTGATTGAGGAATATCTGGAAGATTCACAGAAGCTTGGATATTAACAGAAGGTGGATTAGTGATCACCTTTAATTTCTTTGTTTTTGAAATTTTTCCTGAATTCGGTGATTTGGATTTCCTCCTCTTATTCCTTCCTTTCGCCTGCATCCTTCACTTAATTTCAAGAAAGCACTAACTTGTGTGGTTCAAAAAACACTTTTAGACTTTTTATCGCTTGATTTAATTAATAAATTTAATAAAAACTTTGATACAAATTTTTTGTTTGTTTAGTTTTCTCACTAATTAAACTCACTTTCTGGTTGATTTAACTGATTGATCATTACTTTCTCGCATGATAAATTGCTTTTTCTTGTAATACAAAACACAAAGTACCTACCAACAAAATGGCTAAATACTTCCAAAGAAAAATTATTTGCTTTTAATTAAAAGGTAAAAAAGTTGTAATTGGAAAAACAAACAAGTTGAAATTTTCTCTTTAATCGTCATAATCGGAAGTATTTTACAAGTGCTCGATCATTATTTTTCTTTCCATATTAAGTTAAAAAGTGATGACAAACGATGATGTTTATAGATCAATAACTGATGATAATCAGAAAAAAAAAAAAAAAAAATGGACTATAAATGATCATGGGAAATTTTATATTGTATCAAAGTAACAATGAAGTGATAAATTGTGTGACAAATGTATGTACATTGGGGAGATTTTAAGTTGCGCAATAAAATATAACGTTTTATTGTTTTCTTGAATTGAGGAAATGTACCTTACGAGCGATGTAAATTTGCGTAAGTTAACAGAAGATAAATTAAGTGTATAATTTTTTGGGTCAAAATAACAAAGAATTGCTTTTTGAGTTTCTTAAACATACTGTCTGATATATTTGCTTTAAAGCGTTCTGTATCTTAATTTTAGACTTGATAGCATGAGAAAATACTCAAAAATTGAACAAAAATTTATCCTAAGATCTCAATCTTAACTTTAATGAATTATTCTTCAAAAACAAATTTGCATTTTTTTATCCACAGTAGTTCGAGCAAGAGAATTTGCAGAATTCTTAATTGTCAATCCAAAAATTGAGTGTCCTTCATTAATATTTCAATAAACTTATTTAATTTGCCATGAACAACTTACATTTTTATGGACAAAAGAGCATGTCAACTAAATATAATTTTACGTGCTTTCAGCAATCACACACAATTTTTTTAATGCTTTCATTATTAAATTAGGTTTGAATGAGTGAGTAAACTGTATCAATAAATGGGCCTTCATACATTTCGTAATGAAAATTTTTTCAAAATTACTCACGCTTTTATATCGCTAATTTTTGTAGAGAATTTTGATGAAAAATATATTCACAAAAATTGAAAATTTTGAATATCCAAGCATTTAATTAACAAATCCTTTAATTAATTTATTTGAAAGAAAACAATTAACTCTAAGTTATGATAATTTTAACACTTTTATTAAAAAGCAAAATCATTTTTACACTCGGTGAAACTTTTTTAAATTTATGCACCGGTTTCGCTTTTATATGGACTATTTTTTGTTTGAGATTGTTTGTTTATCTCCGCGTTTGTGCGTGATACTTTTTAAAGACGTGATTCATTTGCCTAAATATGTCTGTTTCTCTTAAGTAAATGAATTAATGTGTGTCTGGGTCAAGAGTGTTGGGAAATGAATTTCTACTTTAAAAGCTAGAAACAATTAACTTTTCAAGTGTTCTTTTTATTAGCCAAAATCATTCGTTCTTGGCATTGGATCCAGAAAGTGAAAGTTTTTAACGTAATTTCCAAAATAATCAAAATTTGAAACCGTTAAATTCCTTTTGCACTACTAACCTCATAAAAAGTGAGAAATTCATTTTATTTCATATTAAAATTGCTTCTCTGGTGTTTGCTTCTGTTACGCATGTGTGACTATTATTCCTCATTGTCGATCTTTATCACATCATACAGACAATGTACATTAAGAAGAAAATATTTTGATATGTCTGAGCAATTGTCAAAAATTTGGTGTTTTTGTTGTTAATTCCCGAAGCGAGGAATTGCTCGTTATTTTAATATATTTAAGCAACAACAGAAAGTGCACAACAATGAATAGAGGGAAACATGAAAGGTCTAAGAGTGGTCTTCAAACAGAAATAAATAAAGAAGTTAAAAAAATGCAAAAAGTTTAATGGTCAACTAGAAAGTATATGTAATGTTTCATAACTTAATTGCATGTTGAAAACTTAAATTGCATATTTACGTTTTAATTAAGCTCGTTATGAATATTTTTTGCATATAGTATATTCTTTACTACTGTACATTAAATGATAAAATTATGAATAAACTGATGATATTTAACTGTTTTATTAGATAGATTATATCAAATAAAATTCAAAAACTATCTACTGACATCTATACTTTATACCTGATTCCATATACTTCCATAAATGATTTTAATCTTATAATATTTCCGATATACATTTGATAGTCACGTAAAATCTTATAGCTCGAGCAAATTGTCGTCAATTTGCATATTTTGACAGTCAGCAAATTCACATGCCTGTTTCTAGGTTTTTAATATTTTTATTGATCAAATTAAAGTTACAATAAACAATCCCAATTTGCACGATATACATTCCAAAACTTGTTTGTATTCGATACTTGATTAGCATTAGCTTTCAACTTACATTCGGTTTCAATCACTTAGTGAAGCGTCGCATTGTGTTCCACTGACTTACTTTTGGTATTGATAAACTTATGAATATTACATATGGTTTGATATGATTTTAGAGATTATTTTTGATTAAATTAAGGTAGAAAAATCGTGATACTTAATATTATAGAGGTCAACTGAGAGAATCTTAAAGATGATGAGAGATTTGATGTGACGTCTGCATCATTAAAGTTATTGAAAACTATCATTACTTGAATAAATTTTGAAACATTATGGTAATAAATGCGGTATAATAAAAACGTCCTGGAATCATTTCAGTGATGCCTTCAGTATAAAAGATAAGAATGCAATGCTGTTAATATGAAAATATGAAATGAAATTGCATAACATTAAGGAATCAATTCCTGAATTCCTTTAAAAACTCAATTTCCTACTATGTAGTAATTTTAGTAAATTCTTCATTTAAGACTGATTCCAATGATGTAATACTCGCAATGAATAAATAAGAAAATATTTTAAGGTATTCACAGATTCCAATATAAAATCAACGCTGTGCTTAGTTGAATCATAATTTTTTTTAAATAGATCACAGGAATATTAAAGAAATATATTTTTTTGTGGAATGTAAATAAGGAAAAAAAAAATAAAAATTTGTTGTGTCTATTTTATGGTTGTTGAGGTTAATGCTGCTATGAAGTGCTTGGTTTGTAAATACCAAAGCAATTTATACCTTGTAATATTTATATTAATTAGATGAAATAGATTAATTTGATCTACTGAAAGTCTCATAATCTGTATATCATTCAAAGACCTTTGCAAAAAGAAAGACTATAAAAAATAAATATGTATCACGATCATGGTCATTTGTCGTTCAAATTTAAATGTAATCAATACAATTGTCTAAAACTCAATTCGATACTTTAAAAATTAATCTATATCAGATGAGTTTTAATCAGAATAGTTCATTGTCTATAAATTAATTTAATTTTAATAGCTAGACTTAATTTATTATCTGAAACAAAACCATGAATATTAAAAAGCAGTAAACAATCGACAAGGACGAATCACTGTATTGACGTGTGCTGAACATTTACATAATTTTTTTAAGTTCACACTCCATATGAAAATCAATGTCATAGCTCTTCCCACCTGAAGCTGCTCAATTGATTTTTATGACTCATAAATTAACAAAATATTTTCTTTTCTTTATTTTCCAGATGAATGATAAGACTTAGCATTACATCATAAAAAGTAATTTCCGACACAATGACAATTGTACTAGATGTAAGTTTCGACGATAATCAACAGCAACGAAGCAACGATAGCAGTAACAGTAACAATAACAATAATAGTCAAAACTGTGCAATTAAAGATGTTAGTAATAAGAAAACGAAGGACAAGCATCGCGACAATAGATGCTCATCCAAAGCAGCATTAAAACTGGCGAAAGTGAAAACAAAGGTGAGTTAAAAGTGAAAAAGAAAATTTATTAATTGTAATGCTTTATGTCATAACATAATATGCTATTAACTTCTTTATTTTACGCAAACATATAATGCGACTTTCGTTTATTCATATTGTTTATAATTAAAATACTTACTTGAGATTATATACGATGCTGCATAATAATTATAAAAGCAACGATGTAGGATGTGGATCTGTTGCATCTTGCCACGCAAAATAATGGAAGTCTTTTTTGCAGATTTCTATTTCGTTGAATGAAAATATTTCTCATTGAAAAACTTGATTCAATTGAACAGCTTTAATTTTTATTTTTGGATTTATTTGTCAATGACGTCTACATAGCATTAAGAGAATGGGGGAAGGGGGTTAGAAACAATGTAATATTTTAAATAAAAAATTTTAAAATTTAACTCAAATTAAAATGGATTTTCTGACACACGCCATTTATGAACGGCCGTACAAACCATTAAAAATTGGTTTTCTGCAGCACCAGTACCTCCGGAAAGATAAAATTAAAAATTTTTATGCGATATGAATCATTGTAATAACTCAAGCTTATACCCACAATTTAAATAACAATCGTCTACTCTCTACATTGATAACCACACAATACGAAGAAAAATACTCAAAAATAGGCAAAAACAGACCTCAATGATTAATGATATTTCCGAAAAATGCAACATCGCGATTAGACATAAAATGGCTAATAATATATTTTAAAGAATCCAATACAAAATCTGTGTCAAATGACAATGTAAACTTTTACTTTATACTCCATAGTTCATTAAACGCTATATTTTATTAATTTCATGCTTGAGCGGACGTATTCAAAATTTATGTATAATTTAATTACTCAGATATCAAAAAATTGTTAATTTTCGTAATTATTTAAAATTCTCAAAAATTTTAATAGCCGTTTAGCATCGACCGAAATATTTTTAATATAACTTCAGGCTTACTTCGTACTTTGTAGAAAAAAAAAACAACTTAAAAATAAAAAGGTTTAGAGAGAAAGAAATGAAATTTGTTGAATCAGAAGATATGAATGTAGGTAAATGTGCTTGTGCGAGATTAGAAAGTAAAGCGTGATGTGAGTACTAAAGCAAAAATGTTTATATACTTCTGATGATGGGTCTTTAGCTCATTTTAAAACTCTCATACGGCAACAAGAATTCCGAATAAAATCTTCACTTGATAAAAAATGGATGGGAAAAATATCTAATGAATGATGTTAATGATGCTTCAGCTGAAAAATAAATTCTTGTTAATTATTTTAGGTTTTCTTTTTTCATTCTCATCAACGCATTCGTGATTTTTTTCATTGTAATTACAATTATGATTATTATCACATTACATCTTGAGAGGTTTTAACGTTGCTAATATGTTTAATCTTTTACTTTTATGACATATATTTTCATGTTAACTAATTTTAAATGTAATTTCTTCTCATTCTCAAGCTGTGTGTGTGTGTTTTTTTTTTTGGAAAAACTATTGTTCCATTATTATTTACTACTGTTGATGTGATCATTAAAGAATAAGAGGTCTACGGTGGGTAGATGTGAATAAAAAAAAGCAATATGAGTGACGTTGAGCAAATGTCAGGTGTTTATTACATTCAATTATCATATTCACATATTAAAGCATGACTTTTTTTTGTTCATCTGATTTGGATTTAATAAATGGAGTTGAAATTTATACCTGGCGTCATGGGAACATTGAGATAATTAAATTATAGACTTTTAGGAAAGAGTAATAGTTTGATACCATTTAAAATTGTTGAGATTGGAGGATAGGAGTGACCAGTGAAAGGGTTTAGTATTTTCTTAGTATTTGAAGACTAATTTGGTGTGAAGGGACTATTGAAAGCATTTTAAAATTCTATAAAGGGTAAAAAATCAGTTAAATCATAAATTAGAATTGTTCTACACCTCTTGAGACCGCAGAAAATCAGGCATAAAATGTGAATTCCTATTCATTCTTAAAAGTAAACACGTTGCATTTAATCTTCCCATATAATCACTTTTCAGAACTCTCGAAAAAAGCAAGAAAAAAAAGTTGCAAAATGTGGTAAAATATGCTGAAAACAACAACAACCTGACACTCAAAGAAATAGTCAATTTAAATTAAAATTTATATTGTTTGCAAACTCACGTTTACAAAATTAAATCGTTTTAACACTACGTAAAATTAGAAAATTACGCTTGATCAGCATCGCCAAAAAAATTCAAAATAATGAGAACAAAAAATCTTACATTTGAAAATTGCTGATTCAACTAAAAGAGCTCAATTTTCGATGCTTAATTGACGAAATGGTTTTTTTTTTGTTAACCGTTAGCAAAATTTTATTGTTTGTTGCTGCTTCTTGCCAATGATCAAATAAAGAAAACCCGAATTTCGCGTATTTCTACTTAGTTTGATTGAATAACCAACACATTTACCTGACAGTATATTTTCTTTCGATTCTTCACACCCAAAAATGAAACAAAAAGCAAAACTTGCAAAAAAATTATGGACAAGGTCAGTATCGAGAGAAATTTCACCGTCGATCACTCTCTCGGCATGCAAGCTTATAACCCGTTTCCTTGTTAAATTTATTTAAAAAACATTCTCGGAGAAAGTTTGCAGAAAAAAAAAACTTTCTTTACTTATCTCGTTTATGATTATGCATTCATACAAGTTTCCTGTGCTCTTTACTTAAGAACTTTTATTTGCTGTTATATAAAAAGGAATTGAGGTTAAGCAAATGCATGACTCAGACATGAAGACCATAAATCACATGCGATGTCTGCATGTCAATTATATTTGAATTGTTGGTAATTATTTTCTGCAATAAAAAGTATCATTATTAAGAGAATTGAAATATAAATGCAATAAATGAACAAAAATCATGGTAAATGATGTTTGATGTTTATGAAGAAACACAAGCATGGGAATATTTTTAAAAATTAAGAAAATCATTAATAATGTGGCATGAAATCAACGTATCAGTTTAGTAGGAATTTATGTTAATTTCTCTATTAATTCCCAACATTTCAACAAAAGTCTGAATTTTTTAAAATCCTTTCAAAAAACGAAAACTTCTTTAAAAACAGAGGAAAAGGTGTACTGCTCCACCTTTCCAATTAGCAACTAAAAAAATCCATTTAAAAAGACCACTTAAGAAAGTAGCAATTCAATAACACAAATTATTCGTTACTCTCGTTCATTTTTTCTTAAATTTCAAAATTTTCAATTTCGTAAAAAAAAATTCTTCTTTTTTACTACAAATTTTTGTTGAATAATTATTCCTTCTTTGGCAACAATTCGTCTACAATTGCTTTTTTTTTGTAACACTAATTCAAATTTCAAATAAATATGTCTATTTAGATGTAAACTTACTGTCACTGTATCTAGATTGCATATAATTTATTTTTGTACAGTATTGACTTCTATTACTTGCAGTCTATTATCATTTTGAGATTTGTAGATATTCATAAATTTTACAGTTTAATGCTGAATTTATTTTAAATTAAAACTGCTGAAATATTTTATAGTTTTATAAGAAAAATTGCAAATTAAAAGATATAAGAATTTGGATAGAAGCTGAGATGAAAATAATAAAATAAGAGACTTGTGAGACGTGAAAGTTTGCATTTTCTGTCGATGGGAAAATAATGGGCGTTTTTGATAACAGCAGCAGTAATTGTAATGCTCATGAAATTAATGAATATAACTACAGTTCTCTTATGGCTGTGTGATATTATAATTTTGCATCACTATCATTTCCATAGTGAAAAGAAATACTATATTATTGAAAGCATTTATATTTCTTCTGATTTTGATTTGAGATTCCAACAGAGAAGTTAGATCTTTCCAAATAGATTATGGCTTTTGAAAGTTACAACTGTGCATTATTATCAGCATCATGAGATGTAATCAAAATTAATGTATTTATTCAATTTCCTTTTTCGTGAGACTTTTTTGAGAATTGATCTGAATCAGAAAGGAAAGGAAGTTGAAGATATGAGAACCATAAACTTTTTAAATTATACCTAATCGTAGACAAATAAAGCTCTATATAAATTATGAGAACATCCAAATACCCTAATTTTATCATTCAATATTGAATTCCATATCACAATCAACTAAGTCTTTCTTATTTTTCAATAAACAGAATGAAAAGAAATCAAATTGCAAAAAATTATCATCATCATCATCTGCGTCACTTTCAACCGCAACAACAACATCATCAGCATCGCCAATTTCAATTAAAGACAGTCTAATCGATAATAAAGAGAAATTAAATGATCTTAATGATCAAATTTTAAATAGTCAACAATTGAGTCAACCAAATTTTCACCGGCATCATCATCATCATAATCCGTTGGTGCAGAGGAACAATAGTACGTGTACGGAGAGACATAATAGTGTTGGAAGTCATGATTTTAGAAATAATTTTAATCCATCATACCATAAAACAGAATCGATAATGTCTTCCGATTCGGACATACGATTCACGAGGAAAAAGCTTGGCGATAATCAGCGATGTGGTTGCATTGTTATTGCCGGTTTTCTTGTTATGCTGCTCGTTGCCGGTCTAATATTATGTGAGTATAAATTTCGATGTTTTTGGTGAAAATTAAAATAGGGTTATGCTGTTGTTCATGTTTTAAGGACTGAGATATGCCGAGTTCTCTTTAGTCATTCGCATATCAATAACTGTTATAAGTTTAAATCGAATAGATAGATAAAGGCAATTCAATTCATAAATTAACCAACAGTTATTGCGAATAGAAAAAAATTTCATTTTCACACCAAAGAGTTTTCCAAAAATAAAAAAAAAATAAAAGTAAAAGTAAAACGCAATTGCTTAAACATATAGCTGCATGAAATTTAATTAAATGGAAATTAAATTAGCTGCAATATTATAGAATTGCATGTGTCAGTAATAATTTAATGATTTATTTCCATTTCAATTTCGTTACAGATGCTGGCTGTAAGTATAACACTCACATGAAAGACTTTCTTTTCCGACATAATGTTTTACAATGTCTTTTAATAAGTGGTTAGTTGCAGCAGTTTTGTTTAACAATAGACAGAAGCAATGCTGCTTGTCGCAACTAAATAAATAAACATTTTTCTCGTGTGTTTTATGACAATCGCACGTAATCGGAAAGAAGTTTGCGATAATTTCAATAATTTTCACTGCTTTCTTTCCTACAGATCTTTTTCTACATTCAAAACCTCAACCAAATCGAATATTTCGCGGACGTATACGCGTAATAGAGGGAGATCATTTTGTTATGAATTTAACAGATCAAAATTCAATTGAGTTTCTCGAGAAATCGCGTGAATATCGTGAACGAATTAATCTGCTTATATCACGATCTGATTTTCGCAAATATTATGATGGATGTGAAATTTTAGCGCTAGACGGACACGTCTTTGATGAGCGAAAAAATTCAACAAATAAAGATTTAATTGTTCATTTTTTATTAAATTTTGATCCAAAATCAGATGAAATTTTTGCTGGCGTCGATGAATTGCGTAAAATATTTCTCAAAGAATTCCAACCATCAACAACAAACGGTGCACGATTTTTCCGTAATTTGAAGATAGACCTCAACGCATTTCAACTCAAAGAGGTGAATTTTGAGAAATTTGATGATATCTTTGTGACATCATCAGCTCATGTTGACAGCTATGGGAATTCTCATGACATTAATTTAGCATCAGAAGAAATGAAAATTTATCCTCATCGTACATGCGAGCCTGTCAAATTGAAATTTTGTCGTCAAATTGGATATAATATGACAACATATCCAAATCTTCTCGGTCATCAGTCGCGAGAGGAAATTGAAAGAGATTTAATTACATTTCGAGAAGTTGTTGATAGTGAGTGCTTTCTACAGGCCTACGACTTCCTGTGCCACTTACTTCAACCACCATGTGAGCTTAGTCTTGAACCAAAATCAAATCAAATTTATATCAAGCCACGACTTTTATGTCGTTCCTACTGTCAAGCTTTTAGTGATGGCTGTTTTAACAGAATTCCACAAAAATTTCGACCATACTTTGACTGCGAGCGATATCCAGAACAGTCATCAATGCAATCATGTCGACATCAACCAGCATGCATGACACAATTAAAAGCTTCGGGCAATGGTTTGCGAATATGCGATGGAGTTGCTGACTGTCCGAATCTTGAAGATGAATTGTCATGCTCGTACTGTCCAACTAACGCTCTATATTGCGGTCGCGGTCGTTCATGCATTTCAAGGGAAATGAGATGTGATGGAAAGTTTGATTGTGCTGATGGAAGCGATGAGAAAGATTGCTGTAAGTTCAATGACATGATTTTGAGGTTTTATTTTCAATTTTTAAGCGCCCTTGCCTAAAATCTCAAAATTAGTTGCCTTACTTCATTCCTCTGAACCACTTTTAATTATATTTAATCTATTAATTTAATTTAATTGACAGTATCAATTTCACCGCTTGTTGCTCATTTAACAAAACCAAAGCCATTAATTCCGCATCGCCCTCAATTTTATCATGAAGGTTTTGCTGTCTTTTCCGAGAAAGGTCAAACAGGAAAGCTCTGTGCCGAGGGCATGGAATCGAATGAATTTGTGAGATCGACTGTTGCTGAATCATTGTGCAAAGCATTAGGCTATGAGTAAGTAAAAGTGTATTCAACTTAAATAATTTTTATCACAAAATTTATGTCCTTTCTTAAAAAGACGCGTGACACACTCAGAAGTTCGTAATGATACGGAAGGTGGCCACAATAATTATGTTCGTGTGTTAGATCCACGAGCAGCAGAGATTTCATTCGTAAGAACAACATGCCCAAAACATGAAGCTTTCTATCTTGGATGTAGTCAATTAGAATGCGGAAGACAATCTGCATTTATGGGCGATAAAGTTGGTGTTGCATTGCCAAAAATGTCATTGCCTGGAGATTGGCCTTTCCATGTTGCATTATTCAAAAAAGAGACCCATGTTTGTGATGGCACATTAGTTTCATCTCATTGGGTTTTAACGACGGCATCATGCTTTCAAGGACAATCTAAAGCGACGTGGATGGCTGTTTTTGGTAATGTTAGAATTGGTATGACTACACCATGGACGCAAAAAAGACGAATCGTAAGTACTTAAAGTTTCATTGTCTTCTATAGAGCTCTTATTATTCACTCTCATCCCACATAAAGGTTGGATTAGTAAAATCTCCAGTTGAAGGTTCAACAGCCGCCCTCGTACGACTACAAACGCCTGTCATTTACTCAGATTTCGTGCGTCCAATTTGCCTACCTGATGATGATTTTGCAAAGAATTCAATCATTACTGATTATCCAATAAATTCAGCATTGTCATCTGGCAATCTTATCGATCAGCCACATGCTGAGAAATTCTATGAAAATAAATTGCGAAGGACATTAAACTTTGTCGAAGACCGTCAATTCTTCCAAATTTCCGATAAACAAGACGAAGAGAATGAAGATGAAGATAATCAGTCACTTTACTCAGAAATCAGCGCATCAGAGCTTGTCGACGAACAGATGAATTCCGTTCGACCAGAACCACAACTTCAACCAAGATCTGCATCTTATTATCCGAATCATAATCCACAACAGCAGCATGTGAATAGTGTACAGGAAGAAGAACAACATCAATGGAAGCAATGTAACACACTCGGTTGGTCGCGGCAACGTGAGCACTTGCAACGGGTTCAATTGAAGATGATTGACATGAAAGCATGCGAGAATATCTCAATTACAACTGTTAATAGTGCTTGTGCTGAGGCAGCTTTTCATAAGCAGGATTGTAATGTGAGTTGATTTAGATTTTTTTTTATTGAGTTATAAAGCTGAGTGATAATAATGTTAATAAATATTAGAACAATATCATTTGATTACTAATTTTTAAAATGCATATTTTTCATCATAAACGTCAAAACTAATGATCATAATTTCTTAACCAAACAGGAAGAAGAATTTGCTGGAAGTCCGATGATGTGTCTGCTGTCAGACGAGAAGCGGTGGGCATTAGTTGGCGTTTCATCATGGAGAATAGCGTGTACACATAGCGGAACCGAAAGACCGAGAATGTATGACAAAATAGAATCAAATGTTTCATGGATTCGTGAAATTATAAATTCTATCCTCCCATGAGATTCACAAAAAAATATATAAAAATAAAGTTCAAGTTTTTTCTCAATAAAAAAAAATGTGATAAAAAGTTTCTTGAGTGCTGTTGTGCGTGAGAAGAAAGAAAGAAAATAATTTGTTGTTGCTGTTGAAAAATTTCCCAAAATTGTTTATTTTTGTAATTTATTTATTATACTTTTTTATTATAATTAATTCTACTTACTGTACTGTAATCTTTTGTATCATAAAAAATTGTTATATAAAAATTTTTGCCATTTAAATAAAGGAAAAAGTTATATTGAAGACTAAAATTATAGCTTATAGTGTTAATTAATTAATTATTTGTTAAAATTATAAATAATAAGAGTTCATGAAATGTCTTTGAGCATTATCTACACACTTAACGCCCATGACAAATGAAGATGAAATATAAATTTGGCAAAGGAGTTTATAAACATTAATCATTGAATTTTGAAAAACTTTAACAATACAATTGATAGTTCAAATAAGGGCATTTATTGTCATTTATTTCCAAAACTGGATGTGCTTTTATTTGTGAGAAATTTTTTCAATTGTAGGAATTTTATAAATTTTTTTTTTGCCATTATCTTCCATCAATATTTTAGGAGATATCTTTTTTGACAATTATTTGAGTTGGAAATTTTTATTTATAATAAGAGATTAAGAATAATAGTCGGCTGATCATGAAAGGCTTCGAAAATAAATCATTAATCACAAATTTTAAGATTTTATTGCCGCAAAAGTTCACAAAAAAAAAAACTCTCACAAAGTGAAAACTAGAAACGTGAATTTTTATGTCAACCTTAATAAATTTTTTTAAAAAAGTCCAATATTAATTACATATCAAACTATCATTCACAGAGCCAACCATTAATTGATTTATCAACCTCCAAAACCCAAGCAAAATCATTCAAATAAACAGCAAAAATCACTCTGGTTGATATGTAATCATCACCCTCCTTTTATGGTTAACAAATTATTTTTCAAATTTCAATTGACACAATCGAAAACATAATACATTACTGCACATAATCGTTATTGTTTCTTAAATTTCATATTAAGCAACTGGTGTTCCGCTTCTTAAAAAATTTGACAGCTTGTTATTTAAAAACTTTATATCTCAATCTTAGTGAAGCCGTTATGAATTGAAAAAGTATTTAAAGAAAAGTTTAAGATTTCAGACGTATCATACGAAAGTGTCAATGTTGTCATTATAGACTTGCTCCAATGCATGAAATGATCTCTTAACCATTTATTTTTCAGTTCAATAATACAGTACAAACAGTTTTGAGTCTGATTATGTAAGCACGAAAAATAATATTGCAAATTTTCTATGATGCAAGTGACATTTTAGGTAATTTTTTCAACCATGTTTCTTACCATTGAAGATTAAATGTTATGCATAGATGCATGGGTGCCTTAGCCAAATGAATTCCTTTAGGGGACAGTTCAATTATATTAAATATGGACTTAAATATTATTTAGAGTGAAATTTGTGGAATTTCGGAATGTTTAAAGTTACTTCCTAATTGTGTCAAAAGTTTTTTTTTTGATTTCGGTATGTAAAAATGTGAATGATGTGGGACACATCAACAACTAATCAATGTGGCCTTATGCTTCTACCAAATAAAAGTTTCGGAGTTAAAATCAAGTGATTTTAGTAGATTTCAAATAAATACACGAAAACAAGAATTACCAAACATTTAGCAGTACATGAGACTAAAATTACTAAAACTTATTTTTAATTTGCATAAAAACTTATCGGCTTATTTTAATGAACAGTATTATACAACAAATAGATGTAGATACAATCTGATTTGTATATGCATATAAAAAATAAAAAGTTAAGAAAAGTCAGCATGCAGTATCGATTTTTTTTCTAAAGTTAATTTTCTGTCGAAATTGCAAGTTTAATTAAGATTTGAGGTGTATCTATAGCAGGAATAAAAGCTAAACGAAGTCAGTAATTGCAAAAGAATTCCAAATTATGAAGAAAATTCATCTTTTAACAATAAACTAAAAGATGGGGTCGATTACTTATGACGTTCAATATAGATAGAAAATGAGTGAAAAAGAAAGAAGTGTACAATTTTGAAAGTTTTCACAAGCGGAGGAGAAACATTACTTCATTTATACTTCACATCATAAATAAAAGACCCCAAAACCAAATCATTAAGCAGCATTTTATTTCCCATTAGTTTTCCAATAATCAATGAAGTACAAAGTTCCGTTAGAATTTAACAGATAATTTTATACATTATTAGTATTGAGCTCCATAAATCATCCACAAAAAATCATTACACGTCTATTTACAATTTTTGATGATAGTCATAAATAATTCTCACATGATTTCTTCCTTCTTATGATTTCTAATGTCCAGTTTATGTACTTCAAAGTGATCATTACTTTCACCAAATTTTTTAAAATTAAAATTGTGATTGATGACTTTTTGACGTGCATTGAATTTGATTGAAATATTTTATTGTTGTTACAATTTTCACTCACCTCATGTAATTGGCTCTTAATGTTTTGTGTGATCTGTTTCATGGTGGTTTTTTTCAATATTTTTCTTAATTTCGGTCGTGGTAGAAAATTTATTATTAATTTTTTGGATCGTGGAGTTTGGTTTGATTTTTTCTGTTATGTTTTCCATTATTATTATTGTTAATGCACTATGATACCATCATCATGCAACATAAAACTCTCATGATCGGATTTATTTGATGGGAAGTTTTAAGCTCAACATTTACAGAATGATACCTTTATTTTGAATATGTATGAAGTGGTACGAAGCACATCCATTGTACTTAATGCGTTAAAATTAAGTATGTTATTTAGAGATGAAGTTTTTAATTTAGTTGAGTCTTGGATGTTGCAGGCACAGAAATTATTTCATTGAATTTAAGAAAAGAGAGGAACTGTCCAGAAGTCAAAGGTAAAGCTAGAAAAAAATTGTTTTATTCTGAATTTTTGAACATTCACACTGTGTCACTTCACTTATGTAAGGAATAAATAAATAAACCAACAAGTCAAAAATTTACATCGTATGTAAATACATGAAGCAACATGATGTAAGTCAAGAAAGGGAAATGGCAAAAAGCAAAAACAACAAAATAATTTAAAATAAATTAAAATTGCTTTTATTTGTCTTTCTTTTATTTTATTTTTGATGAAAATGGATGAAGAAACTCGAAACTATTGAATTGATCCCTAGTAACCAAAATGTTCCATATAATCTTCCTTCGACGTCGATGGAAGATCAAATGTATCATTATTTATTATATGTAAAATATTTGTTTTACAAACATGTAACAAAAGTGTTCCATCGAAGTATTACCCGAGCCTGCTTAGGATCAAATCCTATGAAAAATCATCAAAAAAATATTTTTTTGCAGGAAAATAATATTTGTTCTAAATTTGGCATTTGCCATATACTTCACAATTGCTCGAAGAAATCACTATTATAAGTTGTCTCTAAATTTGTATGGGACTTTCAATTTATTGTTTATCTTCCTCAGGTTTGTGTGCGAGTCTTGGGCGTTCATCAGTATGCAACTTAATTAAATTAAGTCCTTTTTGTTCTTTTTCGTAGTGTTAGTGTACTTTAATTAAGTACAAACTAATACTTTTACAATAATTTACACAAATAAAATAAAATACAAAATAACACGTGGAATTTAACACGTGTTTTATTCAAAAAAAACGTATTCCATTTGTTTTCCATTTGTATTCCTTTGATGTATTACATTGATGTCTTATTGCATTGTCCATTTATCTTCCATTTTCATTGGACATCATCTTCCAATGGATAATACATGGATAATACATATGTATCATCCATGGAAGATTCTCATGGAATACATTGATCTACCTTTTGGTTACTAGGGATGAAAGATTTATTTCGTACAGAAATTAAGGCTGTTGCAGGCTTTTAGCAATAATAGAATTGGCATTGAAACCAATCCCAGTAATTCAATAATCTCTACCTTCCTATAAAAAACAAATTTGCCCATAAATATTGTACAAAGATCAAAGACAGAGAAAAAAGAATCAACTAGATCAAAAGACTGTTGGAAGCAATTTTTTAAAAAATTAAGGTTTGAGTCTAATACAAGCAGTAGGTGAGTCACATCAGTTGGTATTCGGATTAACATCGTGATTTTCGTTTAGAATTATTACGGTTTTGGGGAAATTGGAATTAATTCGAATTACTGAAGAGACTTTTTTTTGATTTATTGAACACGAGTAACTGAAATTGCTAATTTTTTAGCCATGCTTTAATTGAGTCACTATGCATTCTGAATGTTGGTTTTTTGGATCGGTTGATGAAATGAGTGGCAATTGTATTACATATTTTTTTATGCTTTCTTTTTTTTTCTTCGATTAAAACAGCCACAAAAAAATGTTTCTTATTGAGTGGACGTTTGCGGAAATAAATGAAGCAGCAACATGTAAAAATTTCAATATACATGAGGTCATTGTAGTCAATTTTTTGCTCCATAAAATTTCAAAATTAAAATACAACAGGCTGCAATGATATTAATTTTTTGTAAAACATAAATTTTCTTATGTCTTGGGCATTTTCAAGTCAATGAAAGTTAAAATTAAAACCATTAAAAATTGCAATGGCTCGTTTAGCATATTGTAATCAAAAGGAGTGTCATTCTACTTCTCAATTGAGTCAAGAGCTATAAGCATACACAGAATTTTGTTTTGTGACCAAATGTAAAGCAAAGCCTAAAAGTTTTTCTATTTCTTCAATTTAATTGCTTTTTCCTCGAAGAAATATGTTTCCATCTATTTTAGTAATTAATTTCATTTCTGCATGAATATAATATGTATTGTGTTTAGTCATAAATACAAAATATGATCTCATGAGATAGTCAACACAAAGGATGTTAATCAGTGATGTCTAACATAATTATAAGCTGTGCAACATTCTATAAAAAAATAAGTTTTGCATAATAAATTGGTAAATTTGCTTAGGAGTTTGATAAACATCATTAATAAACTTATCCTATAGCACCCATTACCTATAAATAAAAGGTGTAGTAAAAATAATAATAACAATACATTAATAATACAATGGGTATTCACATATTAGGTTTATTTCACACTTTTGCGGGTCACTCACTAATTTCAAATACATTAAATGAACTCCTTACCCACTGGTTTTTCGTGATTCAAATACTTATTAAATGCCAAAAAAATCTTTTATTTTATGATGGAAGCAGGGCATGTAACATGACTAATTTTATGTTTCTGAAGGTCAACGCTTTCAAA